CAAGGATGAGTTAGTCACTCTAGCAAGTAGGCAACATCAAGGGAAATAACAGCATTGTCTGCTTCAAGAACCACAAAATTTGGGGCCAGCACCGTGGCTCACTTGGCTAATCCTCCACCTGCGGCACCGGCATCCTATATGGGCACCAGATTTCAGTCCCGGTTGCTCCTCTTCCAGTCCAGCTCTCTGCTATGGCCCGGGAGTGCAGTGGGGGATGGCCCAAGTGCTTGGGCCCTGCACCCACATGGGAGACCAGGAGGAAGTACCTGGCTCCTGGCTTCAGATTGGTGCAGCACACCAGCCATAACGGCCATTTGGGGGGTGAACCAACAGAAGGAAGACCTTTCTCTCTGTCTGTCTCTCAGGTCTATAACTCTACCTGTCAAAAAAAAAAAAAAAAAAATACAAAATCTGTTAAGTTCAACAAATGAAATTCCAGGGATTCCTAGAAGAGATGTTTCTAACTTTCTGTCGGGGAAGGCGGCAGGTCTCCCTGGAGGAGGAGAGACTGCGGACACGCGGTTCTCCAAAAGCAGCAGGCTGCAGCTTTTCCGCGGAAGCAGGGAACTCGATCTGTGTGCCCCCCAGATGTCTCATCTTCCTGCTGCGCCGCAGCCCTGTCTCCCCCGCAGCAAATCAGAATCTATCGCAAAAGAAAAGCAGACCGTGGAAGTGCTTGCATTTTACAAAGTTTGCTCCTTGATTGTCTTCCAGATGGGAGAGGCTATTCTACGTCCCAGCAGGTCTACAGAAGATGGCGTCCACGTTGCTTTCTTCATGTCTTAAAAAGTAATGAGTACCTACTATTGAGCAAGAGCACCTGTGGCCTATTACCATAAGTAGAAATGCAAGTACTCCTGCCTACCACGTATTGGCACTGGAGTTGCCAAGGAAAACAGCAGTCAAGCACTGGCTGGCATGCACTTTGCTCGTGCAGAGAACAGACAGTGCCCAGGGTGAGCTCCTCCCAGCAGCTGATGCAGGATAATTGGCCTGCAGGCCTCCCTGGGCCGTCCCTGCAGGAACAGCTAGAGCATGGATTGACCAGGTGGCATGTGACCCCCACACTTAAGCAGAACAAAGGGGTCCACGTGGAGTCTGAAGCAGGGAAGGGTATTCCCACACCTGGAGAGGAGTCCAGCACAGACTGTGAGGGCTCTGTCTCTTGGTAGAGAAGTGTTCTAGGCACAGCCTGTTCTTGTATGGCTCAGTGAGCGTCAAGAAATTGCCAAGGCCAAGATTGCTCGTCCCAATATCTACTAAGTGCCGATCGTAGGCTATCTACCAGGAACACAGCAGTGAACACGGTAGACAAGTATCTTCTTGCAATCTCTGTTCTAGCTACAATTGTGTGTGTGTGTGTGTGTGTGTGTGTGTGTGTATATATACCTATGGCACATGGTGATAAAGTACAGTGGCAAAAAGAGAGGGAAAAAGCAGGCTGAGGAATTAATCCAGGTGAGATGACGGTGGTGTGAACAGGACAGGTAGAGGATGTGGTGAGGTGTATTCGGATGCTAGATGTACTTTGAAAGTGAAGCCAATAGGATTAACTGATGAGCTGAATGAGATATGACAGAGAGGACCAAGGGTTATGGCAGAAGTTCAGCTAATAGGTAGGCAAGTGCAGAAGCCGAGTAGGCGATTGGATATGCGAATCTGGAGTTCAGGAGAGCTCTGAAGGATTGTAGTTTGGGGATTGCTCAGTTTCTAAATGATGTGGAGAGGGATAGCGCTGGGAGAGACCGCTAAGGGGAGGTGTCCATGGAGAAGAGAAGAGGTACAGTGTCTGAGTCCTGAGCATGCCAACATTTGGAGGAACCGGGACTGAAGAAGAATCCGTTCCAGAGACTGAGAAGTAGCAACCCATGAAATAAAAGCAGAACGAGGTGTATGTGTTGTTCTGGAAGCCAGGCGAAGACACTGTGTCAAGGACGTGATCTCACCTCCGCTGTGGTGTAGCTGCTACAGCGGCCCCTCGTGATGCCGGCATCCCATATGGGCTCCGGTTCATGTCCCTGCCGCTCCATTTCCAATCCAACTCCCTGCTAATGGCCTGGAGAAAGCAGCAGAAGCTGTTTCAAGTGTTTGGGCCCCTGCCCTCCACGTGGAAGATCCGGATGAAGCTCCTGGCTCCTGGCTTCAGCCTGACCAGGCTCTGGCTGTTGTGCCATCAGGGGACTGAATCAGCAGATGGAAGATCTCTCTGTTTCTCCCTCTCTTTGAAACTCTGACTTTCAAGTAAATACATAAATCTTAAAAAAAAAAAAAAAAAAGAATGATGTCATGATCTGTTGCAAGTCAAGTAGGATGAAGACAGGATTAACTGCTGGGTTAAGCAATATGGAGGTGATTGATAACTTGAGCTAATCCAAGTTTTGACCACTAAAATGGAAACTTATTTCAGATCATTGTATCCTCTGGGATATCTCCCAACTTTCCTCTGGAAACTGACCTGAAGCTTCCAAAAGAGTGACAGTGTTTAGTTTTTTAATTCCCAGCCAGACTGTGGTAACCTCAAGGGTCAGGGCCTTATCCGAATCGTCTCAGTATCTGTGGTCTCGCGAATATATAGCAACGTTTGATAGGTAGCAAAAGCGTGGAAAATATTTGCTATGTAAATGAAGTGGATGTGAGGCTTGGTGAGTAAGGGGCCTCTTCCTTCTCCTCCTCCTCCCTCAGAATACTCTTATCTGCCTTTTCAGTTCCTTCCTTGGGAGGTGAAAGATTGGCTCTTTCAGTGGATATCCAGCTTTGATAACAAACTGATAAAGTATAGGAAAAACATAACAACAAAAATAATCACGGCAAATATTGCCTTAGAGTTTGCTGTGTGTCTGACATTAGATCGAGCATTTTACAAAGGCGTCTTCATCCTCATATGCTGTGACGGTGGCAGTGTTTCAATTTTACCACTGTACAGGTTAGAAAGCCGAGACCCAGGAGGTACAGCAATAGCGCAGTGTCCTTAGCACGGCCACTGCTGTGTTTACCAAAGCCCATTTCCTTTTCCTTCTGGGAGCAGCCTGACGCATTTCCCTAGCTCCTTCGCGGTTGGGGATCTCCACGTGACAGTTCTGACTAACCCACAATAAAACGAGGGCACCATGATATGTGCTGCTCTCTGGCTGGGTCCACCTGCAAGCTCTCTCTTTCTGCATGGAGGAGGTCCGTGGAGGAACCCCTGGGTCCTGGGAGCCACAGGACGGCAGGACACCAGGTCCCTCAGTGACCACGTGTGACGTGGGCTACTGCAGAGCCAACACCTACTTCAGACTTTGCAGGAGCAAGCAGTAAACTTGCTTGGTGAAACCACCGAGATTTCGGGATTTGTTTTACTGCAGCTAGTGTTACGTGCCTTCAATGGTTGTAGAGTTTATAAGTCTGAAGCCTTAACCTGATACAGGGGCAAAGTTATGGGTCACTCGCATAAAGGGTAGTCTCCCTACCAAAAACTAAGGATGTACAAGGCAATGTGCGCAATGCATGCTGTAAGCCAAGATCTGCAGTCTCTTCTCCCATTTTTACCACAAAATTCTGTCAAGGCCTTCAGCTTCCAGCCAGAGATGGGAAGCATCTTCTCTGGGGAATTTAACTTTTGGCCAAGAAGATGAAAGGATGCTGACACTGGGGTTTCCTAACACAGGGTCTGCTGAAGTCAGCGCCAACGGGCTCCATCGCTTGGCTAAGAGCTTCCCATGGGCGTTTGGGTTCCTCAATTCTTTTCCTAACCAGACATCGGGAGACATTCTTACATGAAATACAGAGACCACAACAAACGAAGAGAAGGAATGCAACTGAGGGAAACCCGAGTATAAAGGAGAAGAATTGTTACAGCATTGTTCGCTATTGTTCTTAAAAGAGATAAGATGGTACAGGAATGACATGGGGAAAGGATGCTCCAAATCAGAGAAGAAAAGTACTTAGTAATTAAAGACACAGGGGCAGAAACTGAAACCTTAGCAGAGGATTGGATGATAAATTCGAAGAGCTATCACCAAACATTAAGCCACAGAGACAGAAATGAAAGAGGAAAGATGTTATAACAATTTTAGAGGACTGGTTCAAAAAGAATTCCAGAAAAAAAGATCAGAGAAAGCCACGGGAGAGAAATGGAAAACAATCTATGAAATCACTTAAGAAAGTTTCCCAGAACTGCCGGACAAGGATTGATCAGGGCTTGTCTCCTTGTGCACAGTGGGTGGGTAAAGTTAGACCCGCACCGGGCACGATATGAATTTCCTGAATGTTAGAGACCAGAAAATACTCCATGAATTTCTGGAGGGAAAACATGAGGGATTTTCAAAAGTTCATAGAACAAGTGTGTTATGAAAAATCTATATGGATTTCAGGAATGTTTTGCACCAAAATAAATTTATCATCTAATTCCATTTTCCATGAGCTTTCTGAGATACCCCTGTATGATGGTTCAGCTACAATTCTGATTTTTCCACCCCAAATTATGTAGGTCAATAAAATCCCACTAAGTTACATAACTAACCAAATTATTATTCATAATTGAAGTATAGTAGCATTTTTCAGGCATTTAAAGTCTCAAAATCGTCTCCAAAATCTGCCAGAGGATGTGTTTCAACAGATGAAAAAAAAGCAAGCAAGGAGGAGGAAGACACAGGATGCCAACATAGCAGAACTCAGCAAGGGGGGTGGTGGTTCCAGAATGGCGGAGAGATGTCCCGGGGCGGCGGCTCTGTCTGCCCTCCGGATCCGAGCAGAGATGGGCTCACCGAGGGCTGTCAACACCAGCTCCCTAGCTCACCCAGGGCGGGAAGTCCAAGAGAGGAGGTCTGGACTTCAGGCCACACTGGGGGCCCTGTGCAGAGGCTGAGGAAGGTCCCGCTCCCTCTTTCAGCTCTGCAGCCTGCACAGCAGAGGACCCGCCCTCCGCCCACTGACGCACCCTGCTGTGACGTCATCTTGAGAGCGAGATGAAGGTCACGTGACTTCAGAGCGGCCTCTGTCCCTGTCTCTATTCCTTCTAGGGTTCTTGGCCGCCGTCACAGCCCTGCTGAAGTGCGCCCTTGTGTTTGTGAGGACTCCCTGTGACACTGGCCAGTGACTTTGCAGAAGAAAAGCCAGACCATGACTGGGACTCGGCTCAGCCTGCCTTCCCCGCGGGCCCCTATCTAGGAACCGTCCACGTGAGTCGGTGTTGTTGCCCCGTTGTTCAAGCAAAATGCTATTTAGATCTTCGTTCAGGGACGGAGGCTCAAAGAATGCTGGGGAAATGATTACCCCTGAAGGCAGGCTGGGAGTCACTTCCGGTGGGGGCGAAGGGCCGGCAGGAGGGCTACGGGTCTGGGAAGGGACATATGTGGCATCCAAGGGACCTTAATGTTCTCAGTGTTAACCTGGATGGTTGCCAGCTGGCTGTCCAGGTTCCCTCCAGCAAAGGTGAGCCCTCCTTTTGTGAGGCTGTGAGTGGAATTAGATGCACAGTGGGAATGCAATGGGAGTTCCCTGCTCTCTCCGAGGTGAGCCTCGTGGGGACAGCGCCAATTTGGTCTGAGCGTTAACAGGTCCCGGGGACAAGGAGTAGTGAAGTGCTGATGGAGACGAAGGATTAAGAAAAACCCATGAGGTTGGACGACCCTGGGCTGCTTTCCCCCATGCATTGCTTTCCTCTTACCTGGTCTACTCTCAACAGAGTGTCTAGAAGGATTCTTTAAGAAAGGAAGTGAGGTTGTTACTCCTCTGCCCCTAGCCCTCCAAAGAGTCCCTGTGTGTTACAGTGTGGAAGTCCTGTGGCAGCGCCACAACATGTGGTCCCATCGCACCTCTGTGACTTTATCTTGTACTCTTCATATTCACTGTGCTGCAGCTGCTCTAACCTGCTGCTCTTCCTCGCAGGCCAGGCACCCTTCTGCCTCAGGGCCTTTGCACTTTCATCCTCAGGGCTTGTGTCCTCTTTTCTTTCATGTTCTTACATCAATGACTCCTGGCAAGGTCTTTCCCAACAGTTCCTCCTCACCAGCTTCCATCTCCAGCCCTCCTTTCCCATTTCCTGTGTTGTATTTGTTCCTTGCTAATGCCTGGCTCCTTCTCCCACCTCCCCTCCCCACTAGAATATAGGATCTGAGAGTGTAGGGTTTGTGTCTGCTTCGTTCACAGTCACAGCGCTGCAGTGGAGACAGAGTGACGAGACAGTACCTCAGCTTTCCTCTTGGCCAGCCCCAAGGACTCCAGCTTCTGGTAAGGAGTCATTCGTCTGTGGCTCCACAGTGCGTGCTGATAAAGCCCTTCACCTTGCAGAGTGTGAAGAACATCAGGCGAATGCCAAGGCTTGTGAGCCCCATTAGACAAACACAAGGGCCTCCAAGAGGCCTGGAGTGGCTCAATCTTCCAGGCTCCAGTGGTATCTCTGGATAGCCTGAGCTGCCCAGTTGGCGTGCACTGAGCTCTCTCAGACATAACTCAGCCAATTTCTTGACATGCATACTCTTATTGCCTTCTAATGCTTTCATCGGGTTACGACTTACAACAGATCAGGACAAGCCTAAGTAAAAACAGAGGTTTTTCTCCTTCGGTGCAGTTGTCCAAGCTCACAGCAGAGCAAACACCAAAGACTCGTTGGGGCTTAACAGGAACCATTCCTTGTGTTGGATTTGGAAGACTTTGTCAACCCCAAATGAGAAAAATTCAGAGACGCCCTCAAGTTTGAGTTTATTCAAATGCCCCATTAGAGATAGAAGAATTGATTTTTTGGAAGGAAAACATGCAGAATAATAGCGAGTACTTTGTAAGTAGGCCAAGGGAAAATCTGTGGCCTGTAAAAGTCCTTCAACGGACTCAGGGATTTACGATGTACACAGCATAAACTTGCGCTGTGAAGGGGGCGAGGGTCCCCGGAAAACATCCTCACCTTAAACTTACTCATCCAGAGCGATCATCTATCAGCCCAGGGGGCGCAGATCCAGACAGAAGCGCTCCCTGTGTTTCTTGGCAAAAAGCAGTGTTGATCATCTTTGGTAAAGGAGATGATCTGGACTCTTCCCACAACCTTTTGCACAACATTTGCATACTGAAGGGTAGTCTAGGGAGGACTCCTTTGCTGCGTCTTCCCTGTAGTTCTGGGAAAGAGACAAATCGAGAAATAGACCCCCGTTTAACACGAAGGAAACTGAAATTCAGCAGCTCTGCCCAGTAGGATTTTCTCCAACAGTGGATCATTCTGTAGTCCTATTTACTTCATCCAACAGAATAGCCCAAGCCCCATAGAACCATTGAGCATTTAAGATATGACTAGTGTGATTAACTGAAGTTTTAATTTGTAAACATCTTCTTCAGCTTAGATACTGACGGCTGGTGGCTACCCTACTGGATAGCGCAAGAGTGAGTGGCCGAGCTGAGGCTCTCGTTATGAGTGGCTGATGCCACACTCCTGCTGTCCGGGTCTGGCAGCTTCTAATGAATTACGCAACCGTAAGTGGAGCTTGCTAAGGATGCAGTGGCATCAGGAACGCGGAAAGTGGGCCTGGGTCTCGAGAGCCTTCGGTGCAGCCCACCTGGCTGATCCTTTTCATGCAGCGGCGGATGCCTGCGGCTGGGTTTCCACGGGCAGGCGCAGGGTGAAATCTGGTTGCCATTACACCGGCTACATGATCTTTTTGTGGCTTCCATCTTCTTAAAACAGAAACAAAAAAAGGAGGACTCTGCCTCCCAACATGTGCTCAGATGATGAGCACCTATTTAATCTCTGTCATAGCAAAGACACAGAGTATTTCTTTGAAGTGAAAAAAAAATCTGCTTCGTGGCTGCAGGCAGCTCCTCTGGGAGGGTGGAGGAGTTAGACTGGGCTTCGCGGTTCCCAGCATGGTCCCAGCTCTGAGCCTGTGCTGGGAGAGGAAGGGAAGGGGGCCCAGGCTCCGTGGGAGTGAGCTGTTTTAAGGGTCTCATTATTGCTAGATCAGTTTGTGGGCTTAGAATTATTATTGCAGGGCAGAGTTTCACAGCACCATCAGTCTTTTGGACCAAATAGTTGTTGGTTATTGGAGGACAACTGATGCAATGTAGGATGCTTAGCAGTGTTTCCGGTCTCTGGCCCCTAGAACAGGATCCCATCTCCCAGTTGTGAAAACAAAACAAAATAAAAAAAGTCTTGACCTTGTCAGATATCTGCTACAAGTGCCCTTGTTGAGAACCATGTGGTGGAGTTGCCTTCCTAACCTATACAATGCACACAGTAATATTTTGCTTGGATAATTTTTAAGCTCAGGGTCTCTCCTCACCCTTCAAAATCTTTTGGTGTTGCTTTATACTGTTTTTAAGTTTTGGTGGAGCTTAGAAAAAGACATTAGCAAATTAAAATGGGGGGTGGACACTGTGGTGTGTTAAGCCGCCTCTGAATGCCTGCACCCCACACTGGAGTGCCCAGTTTAGATCCTGACTACTTTGCTTCCAGGCAGTTTCCTGCTAATGCGCCTGGGAAGGGAGCAGATGATGGCATGAATACCTGAGTCCTGGCCACCCACATGGGAGACCTGGATGGCATTCCTGGCTTCTGGCTTCAGCCTGACCCAGCCCTGCCGCTGTAGCATTTGGGGAAGGAACCAGTGGATGGAAGATTTCTCCCTCTCCCTCTCTTTTAAATAAATAAAAAAGCAAGTCCTTTTAGAAATTTAAACCTGAAGGCTGTAAGAGCTCTTAATGTTCTCCCCTAATCCAATAATCCTAGGTCCCGAAGTATTTCAATAGCGCCTGTTCAATGAATAGTTTCCAGACTATGTGCATGAATGAATGAAGTTCAAGGATATCACATTTTCCACCTGTGGCATTTAATGGGAACGATAGGGCCAAATATTAGGGTCCAAAACGTCATAAAACAGAATCAAAAGACTTAAAGAGAGCTTGAACAGGGAAGTTCCATAGGGCTCATCCAAATTAATCTTTGAGAGATAGTCTAAAATCAAGACTCCAGAAGACAGCCACAAAGTTAGGGTGGGGGTGGTTGAGAGGGTCAAATTTTTTTTTAAAGATTTATTTATTGGGACCAGCACTGTGGTGCAGTGGGTTAACGCCCTAGCCTGAAGCACTGGCATCCCATATGGGCGACGTTTCGAGACCTGGCTGCTCCACTTCCCGTCCAGCTCTCTTCTATGGCCTGGGAAAGCAGCAGAAGGTGGCCTAAGTCCTTGGGCCCCTGCACCCACGTGGGAGACCTGGAGGAAGCTCCTGGTTCCTGGCTTCGGATTGGCGCAGCTCTGGCCGTTGCGGCCATCTGGGGGAGTGAATCATCGAATGGAAGACCTCTCTCTCTCTCTCTCTCTCTCTGCCTCTTCTCTCTCTGTGTAACTCTGACTTTCAAATAAATAAATAAATCTGATAATAAATAAATAAATAAATAAATTTGAAAGGGAGAGTTACACAGAGAAGGAGACGCAGAGAGTGAGAGAGAGAGGTCTTCTATCCGCTGGTTCACTCCCCAATTGGCCACAACAGCTGGAGGGATGCTGATAGGAAGCCAGGAGCTTCTTCCAGGTCTCTCATGCGGGTGCAGGGGCTCAAGGACTTGGGCCATCTTCTACTGCTTTCCCAGGCCATAGCAGAGAGCTGGATCGGAAGTGGAGCAGCCGGGACTCAAACTGGAGCCCATATGAGATGCTGGCACTGCACTCAATGGCTTTACCGATTGTGACATAGCACTGGCCCTTCAACTTAGAGTCAGACAGACCGGGTTTGGATTCGACCCTGTTTGGTTTTCTGGTTGGTCGATACGAGACTATCACTGTTTGTCCAATCCTGTTGTCTAATCCTGAAGAAGAGATAGACGTGAAGGTAGAGGAGGATAAGGGAGCAGAACAGAGTTGGGGCAAGCCAGGACCAGGAGAGGACACTGAGCATCCCGGCCTTTCTGAGATGACCCGGGGCGGGAGAGGGGAGGGTACTGAGCTGCCGTGAGACGAGAATCACAGGGAGGAGTCTCTGGGCTGGTATCGGCTCAGGAAGGGCTCTCCAGGAGCAGCACCCTAGGTGACTGCTATGGTTTAGATAGGGGTTGTCTCCCAAAGGTTCCTGTGCTGGAAACTTGGTCCCCAAGGTAATAGTCTTGAAAGCTGAAGGCATCCTGAAGAGACAGGACCCTAGTGGGAGGTGATGACTACCCCAGGAAGGGATTGATGCTGGTCTCAGGGAATTGCTTGTGTCTTGCAGGCTTGGATAGGTTCCCAGGGAGTGGCTATTACGGAAGAACTAGCCTGGTTCGCCCACATTCTCTTGCTTCCCGTCTTGCTGTGGGACCTCTCCCTCTGCATGAGCCTCCTTCCCCTTCTCCTTCTCCGCCATGTTGCTCTGCAGCCCAGGGCCCCTTGCCAGATGCCTGCACATGCTGTTTGGACTTAGCCACCAGAACCAAGAGCCACACAAACCTCTTTTCTGGAAAATGTATCCAGTTTTACGTCTTTTGTTGTAACAACACACAACTGATCAAGACGTGAGTGTTCCCGCCCCATAGCAGCTTTGGGCCCTCAGACTGGGGCACTCCTAGCTCTTTGGATGCATTCAGGATAAATGCCATTCTGGGCCCCAGGCATGGGCACCCCGGGCTGGCTGAAGAGCCCAGGACCCACAGAGTTAGATAATTAATTTTATATTAGGAAGCCAAATTAATTTTCCTGCTGAGAATGATGGGGAGAATAAGAACACAACTAACATTTCCTGGAGCACTTCTGCCATGCCAGGTGGTGTGCCAAGGACTAGCTTTGCATCAGTTCCCTTCTCTAGCACCTGTCTACAGACACCAACTGTTACCATCCCCGTTTTGTACATTGGGGATGAAGGCTAGGAGAGGTTGCTTACCTCTCCCCAGGATATACAGCTATGGGGAAGGGGGACACACTCAAACTCAGCTCCAAGTCCAAAGTGCCTTGTCTTTACCCCCAACAGCCAAACACTTCCCAGTTGGCTCTGAGCATTTATGGTGTCTGTTTTCCTATTCTTGTGTCTCGTGCTGGGGGCAGGGGAACAAATGCACTCCAGGGCTGGCCTGGAAGTGACTGAGGGGAAGAGCACTGGGTTTAGCATCTTGTGGCTTGGAGTGACGTGCTGGCTTGTCACTTGCCAGCTGAGTGACCTTGGGCCACCCACTTAACCTTCTGATCTTCAGCTCTGTCATCCTCAGAACTGACAGAGTAGCTGACACGGATGCAGTACTTGCTGAATCCCAAGCATTGCCACTAGAGTTTTCCATGCGGCATTTGACCCACTCCTCACAACCACCCTGGAAGCTCGGTACTGAGATCATCATCCTTCATAGATGAGAGATTGGAGGTCTAAAGTGGTCACATAGAGGGGGCCGCGTGTCCTAGATGGCCTGAGACTGCCCCACTTACATCTGCTTTCCCAGACTCCCATCTGGCTTTGCGTTTTCCCTGTCACTTTTCATGCTATAAAATGTGCCCCAGTTTGGATAGTACACAATGTAGTCACAGAAGTTACATAACCCAGCAAGTAGTGACATCAATATTTAAATCTGGGAAGTCAGATTCCAGGGGCCATGCCCACAATAGCTGGAAGGGCTGAAGCCAGGAGCAAGGCGCTCATTCCAGGTCAGAAGCTGTGTGGCAGGAAGCAGTTGCTTGAGCTATCACCGCTGCCTCTCAGGGTCTGCATTAGCAGGAAGCTGGAGCCAGGGGCTGGAGCCAGGGGCTGGAGTCGGGAATTGGATCCAGGGACTCTGCTAGGGAGTCTCAACTGCCAGGCCAAATTCTTGCTCCAAGGGCACATACTCTTAGTCACCAAACTAGTAACTGGCCATGCCTGTTTCAAAAGTTTGTGTCTCCCTTCCACCCTCCCTCTTTCTATCCCTTTCTCCCTTCACCTCTCCCTTTTTTTCCTCTCTCCCTGTCTTCCTGATCTTCTTTCATGTATGCCTACTCCATTGTCAGGCATTGGAGATACAGCCTGGTGGGAAGACAGACATGCAAACCAGTGCTTTAATACAATCAAGAGGTGCAGCCAACAGGCAAATACCAGAGGCTACAGGAGCACAAGACAGGGGACTCTGTGGCTGAAGAGACTTCAAGGGAAGTTGACGGTGGAATGACTTTCCAGCTGTGTCTTAAGGCTGTGTGTTCTAGGAGTTTCCTAAGGATGGCGTGAGGTGTAGGGACAAGCGGAGGGTGTGCTGTCCGCTCCTGACAGAGCTAATGTGTCAACCGCGCATGTCATCAGCAATAAGCACCAGAACTCTCAGCTAAAACTGGTTGCAAAATTAGGCGTTGCTTTTTGTATAAGCCTAGAAGTGGGCAGGTGGTTGTCCTGTTTGATTTCCCATCAAGGATTCAGAGTGCCTTTCTACTCTGTCATCCATAAGCAGGTTGATTCTTTGTCCTTATGTTTGTCATCTAACGACTCCAACGTGGCTCACAGAAGTCCCACAGGCCTGCACTCGGTCTTGCTCAGCCAATTATCTCTGGAATCTGAGAAGTCACCTCACTCCTCAGTGTCCTCCTTGGTAAAATAAATGAGGAAGAACATCACAGGGTTGTTGGCAGACAACTGAGCGCAGTACAAACTAGGCAACCCCCAAAAAAGCAAAAGCAGATTTACTTTCCTCTTTCATCAAATATCTATATTTTGTTCTGCATGCATGCATTTCTTTAGAGCAGGGCAGGGCCCATGGTCAGAAAGAGAAGACTCCAAATTTTGGATCCCTTATAGGAATTAAATTTGTAGTCACAGAAGCCAGATTCATAAGAAACCACCCATACTTTCTAGGTAAGTATAGCTTATATAATTAGTAGCACGATAGGCCAATGCTGGCCACAATTGCTGACCCATTGCAAAGGCTGCCATGTGGTCAAAACTCAGAAACTAGGGCAGGGAGAAGGCACTGTGAAGGGCGAGAGGGGTTGGGTCTGTCCTGGGTAGCTGGCGAAGGCAACTTGGCATTCTGGAGAGACACATCCAAGTTCACTGGGTTTTATGCACAGCCAGAATTGGAGATAAACCTCAGTTAATATTTGGGAGATTAACTGTTCCATCAGGGAAAGGTGGCCACTAGTGGCGCCCTCAGAGGCTGTCAGACTAAGTGCCCTGCAAGCAGAGGTGATGGGGCCTGCCCTGGAAGGGGCTGGAGAGAGATGGGAATCAGATTCCAATGAACTCTTTGCAGCTTTATTGGATATGCACCATATGCCTTGACTTAGAAGAAATTTATTTTTTCTTACAAAGTTTTTATTTTCAAAGTCTATAAAAGCAAGAAGATTTATGACTCACTCAGCTATGTTGGCAATCCCTAAACCAATGGACAAAGTGCTGGATTTTTGAAAATTCAAATACAGAAGAACAATTATTTTGCTAAATAACTCCTCTCCAAGTGGGTGATATAAATGGACTGTCTTATTTTTAATGGGAACACAGAAACAGTTTATTTAAAACAAAGAGAAACTGAGGCTATAGTGCAGTACTATAGCCAGACCAGCTGGGAAAACTGACCATCCTGAGGGTATTGACTGAATTGAAAATATGCCTGGGCCGGCGCTGTGGCGCACTGGGTTGATCCTCAGCCTGCGACACCGGCATCCCATATGGGCGCCAGTTCTAGTCCCGGTTGCTCCTCTTCCAGTCCAGCTCTCTGCTGTGGCCTGGGAAGGCAGTGGAAGATGGCCCAAGTGCTTGGGCCCCTGCACCCACATGGAAGACCAGGGGGAAGCACCTGGCTCCTGGCTTGAGATCGGCGTAGCTCCAGCTGTTGCAGCCATTTGGGGGGTGAATCAATGGAAGGAAGACCTTTCTCTCTGTCTCTATCTCCCTCATTGTCTAATTCTGTCAAATATATAAAAAAAGAAAAGAAAAGAAAATATGCCAATGAGTCCTCAAGACCCTCAGTGAGGGGTCTGGGAGTCTGCAGAATGATCTGGCTTCTCCTACAGACTTTTCTCTAATGGGCCAGAGGGTGAATATTTTAGCTATGCAGGTCACATGACCTCTGTAGCAACTATTAAGCTCTGCTGTAGTAGCACAAAAGAGCCAGAGACAATAGCAAGTAAATGTGTGTCTGTGTGCCAATAAAACTTTATCAACATTAGGTGGTGGACTGATTTGACCTTGGGCCACAGTTTGCCAACCCCATCACAGAGGATATAATGGAAGGGAGATGGTAAACTGCTGACATTTACTTAAACCCCAACATTTTTATTGAGCAAGATGGAATGTCTTCAATAGCAACCAAGCTATGACAACACGAAATTTCCAAAAATCACTTTTTTTTTTGAAAATAAAAGAATCTTTTATTATTGACAAATAGGAGAACATAAAAATTGAAATACAAAAATATGTAAAACCTTTTGTAGTAGATAAACTGGATTGGATAATCTCACATTCATTAACTCCCTTCTTTATTGTCCTCCAATATAGCACTTGAAAAGCTATTGCATTCACTTTCCCAGTTTGCCTGCTGCCAGCCATGGGATAACCACAGGATAACCATGTGAGGCATAGTAGGTATCAATGGAAGGAAAAGGAAGGTTTGCAGGGGGTGTTGAGAGGCCTTCATGATGGTTTCTCCTGATAAATGGAGAAGGCCACTTTAGGAATTTCTCCTTAGCCCCTCTCCTTTCCGGCTCGGACTATGAATACGGGGCCTGGAACAACATCAGAAACTGCCATTTGAGGTGGGAAGCCAGCAGGCGAAGTCCACTGAGAGGAAAGAAGGATAATCCTGGAACTGTGGTGACGCCACTAAGCTGAGCTGCATTGTCCTGAATTGTCATTTTCTAATTCCTAAGAAATAAAAAATAAATCCTGTTAGCTTAAGCTACTGATAGTTGGCTATTTATGAAATGCAGCCCAAAATACCCCTAAACAGTGCTCCATGGAATTATGTAAATCTTGAAAAGTAGTTCAAGGTGGGAAACCATGGTTTAAAGTCTTTTTCATGAGTGATGGTCAGATCTAAACTTGAAAATCAGAGCGAGGGTTTGTCCTAGCAGCTAGGATGCCCCTTGGTATACCTGCGGCACTTATCAGAGTGGGTTTAAGTTCCATCTCTGTTCCCAATTCGGGTGTTTGGTGGGGAGGGCAGCAGGTGCTGGCTCAAATATTTGGTTTCCTGCCACCCAAGTGGGAGACCCAGTTTGAGTTTCCAGCTCTTGACTTCAGCATGGCCCATCCCCAGATGTTGGGGGCACTTGGGAAGCAGACCATAGACACGAATTCTCTCTTTCTGTCTCTGCCTCTCAAGTAAGCAGGAACATAGTTTTAAAAATGAACTTAATATTCAGTGTGAGGGTCAGAGTTGTTTGCTTTTGATTGCTTAATGTTGTATGTTAGCCCAGCATGAAGCTTTCTTTGCACTTGGGAAAATTCGAGTTGTGTTTCTGCAAATGGGATGGAGCCACAACACTTAGAACACAGCTTGGGAACAGATAGTCGTGAAAATCGTATTACTTCCTATTGTTCAGATCACTAAAGAGAACATGAATTCCTACTCCTACTAAATGAATAGCATCTCACGTTGAGGAACCATTTACTTGGAACACTCGGACCTAAAACACAGTCTAGATGTGGATGCTCTGCATGAGAGACCACAAAGTGTTCAAACTAAGTGGCAAAGCATGTTTGCCTTCAATTGCAATTAGCGTGATCAAAGGAGAAGGTCATGGCCTCAGACTTGGAGATTTTTGCTCTATTTTAATCCGCAGGATCAGTCTTGCAGGTTAGCAGCTATTCTACCCAGATGACTAAACTCGAGCAAACATCGCGAAGGACATGGGAGGAGCCAAGGGTCAGGACACACTTTAGGACATCAGATGCCTTTGAAAAAGAGGACGCTGGGCTGGGGAGCTTCCACCTTGAGCATCACAACTTGAACAGCAGCAGAATGGCCTTCGCTCCCTGAAGTTTGCACATTTTGGACTTTGTGCAAGGTAGCTCAGGCTGAGCTCTGTCACCGAGGCAGGCTTCAGGAATCGCTCGGCTTCCCCAGCAGAGGCCACTGAAGACTCCAGATGGCTAAGTCTCGCCTTCTCCGCTCATACCCAGCGCCTCCCACATTCCCTAAAACAACCCCTTTCCAAAGCAGTGATGATAAAGCGCGCTTGGAATCTGTAATTGTGGCTTCCCTGACCGGCCTTTGAAGCACAGTATCTGAGAACTGAGATCAGTCACTTGGATGCCGAATTGCCATCCAGAAAAGAGTCCAGGGGCAGGGAGGCCTCGTGAGGCTAACTGCTGGCTGTGCGCATGCTTTTTGCTTGGTGGTTTGAGTCATCTTCAATTTTGTTGTGTCAAAAGCAACTTCTAAAGACAAATGGGCCTCTGAAAATGTGCAATTTGGAAGCATACGTCCATGACAAAGCTTGACCTGCTTTGAGGACTAAATTATTTTGGAGAAGTTCATCTTGGAGTTCTCATTACCTTCTCCCTATTAGACGAGGAGAGACAGCCATGTGTTTCCTGATTGTTGAAGCTGGAGGTTGGCAAACGACAACTGCTTTGGTGCTACAGTAGCATGGTTGAGAAGCGAAGCAAAGACTCCCTGGCCGACAGAGCCTAAAGTATTTACTCTCTGGCCCTTTGCAGAGTGAGTCTGCCAACTCTTGGTTTAGAAGAACTACAATGAAAATGTCTTGTGGAGTCATATGAGGATGGCCAAGTGGAGTATGGTTGTCGGTATACTCTCAATAAACACTATCTGAACAGAGGAATGAAGGGACATAATGCAAAACGCTTGGGTTCTTAGCTCTCAATGCACTCTTAGTTTTAGTCCAGGGCCACTTGCCATTAAGGAGGATGACCTACAGTGACTGAGACCTTATCTTATGCAACCTTAGGCATGTCACTCTCATAATCTTGTTGAGGTTTTCCCAACAACTCAGCATGTACTTATTACCACTGCATAGGCTTGGCAGTGGCTAATTTTCTTGTATTCGGAGGCTTTTCAATTTCATCTTAGGACTCCAGCTCTGCCCCAGGTGGCGGAGGTACTGACCATCTATGTGACTGCTTGATAAATAACAGTTTTTAAAAACTTTCTGGAGAAATTAGCTTTGGTTTGCACAAAAGTTGCTGAAATAGTAGAGTGCTTTTGTAGTCTTCATCCCATTGTGCTCTCTCTCTCTCTTTTTTTAAACATTTATTGAATTTACTTGAAAGTCAGAGTTACAGAGAGAGAGGAGAGGCAGAGAGAGAGAGGTCTTCCATCCGCTGGTTCACTCCCCAATTGTCTGCAATGGCTGGAGCTGCGCCGATCCAAAGCCAGAAGCTTCGTGGTGCAGGTCCAGGTCTCCCACACAGGTGCAGGGCCCAAGGACCTGGGCCATCTTCTACTGCTTTCCCAGGCCATAGCAGAGAGCTGGATCGGAAGTGGAGCAGCCCAGACTAGAACTGGTGCCCATATGGGATGCCGGCGCCACAGGCAGCAGCTTTACCCACTACACCACAGCACCGGCCCCCCAGTTGCTTTTAATATTAACATCTCAAATCCACAGGACAGTGATCAAAACCGAGAAATTGACATTGAAACACAACTATCAACTGGAGTACAGATCTGATTTACATCTGATCAGTTCTTCTAGAATGAGCTTTTGTTTTGCATAAAATCCAGAATCCAATATTTCCTTTAGTTTTCATAATTCCTTGGTCTCCTCTAATCTATGACAGAGCTTCAGTCTGTCTTTGTCCTTCAGGAGTTTGGCACTTTGAAATGCTGCAGGCCAGTTATTTTTCAGACTGTCTCTCAATTTGGGTTTGTCATGAGCAGACTGAAGTTACTCATTTTGGTGGGCGTATTGCAGAAGTAGTATGTGTTTTTCTCCCTGTGTTACACAGGATAGTATGTGATGCTGATCTGTCTTATTACTGGTAATGCTAAGCCTGATCACTTATGCCTACCTGCTTGTTCACATATCAAGCAACCCTTAAAGATACACCCATATTTCAGTAGAATTAGATGCTTCAGCTACTGCAACTGCATAACTGCTCTAAATAAGCCCTTACATAAAATCTAATTTCATCTGCAGTGTTGGGTAGGACACTTTTTTTTTTTTTTTTTTTTTTTTGCTTATGCCTAACTTTAAGCCTCTAGGTTAGGTTTACCCACAAAAATTCCTTATAAGTGGTTGCTGTTTTTACTTTGAACTTGAATCTAGATAGGAAGATTGGCCTACGTTCTGCTTTTGCCATTATTCCTTTCTTCTTACCTTATGATCCAAGAAAACGAAGAAAAATAGTTTCATTGCAATCTACCGGTTCTCTACACATACTCTTTCCTCCTGTTCAGGGGAGGAAGTGTGTGACTGCCTCGTAGATCGGCCCTCACCTGTGTGTTAGATCCCAGCCTCGCCCACCTCAGCAAGTTTAAGGGATGATGGTGGAACCTTAAGGTGGAGAACTCTGCAACTGGTAGGTGCACACTCGTAGAAGACTACTGACATGGAAAAGTGTTCCTAACATATTCTCATGTAGCTACCATTTCCAGGGCGTTTCATTCCTGTGTGTGCATATATATATTCTGTCTGGTATCATTTTCCTTCTGTCTGCAAAGGGCTTCCTTTAACATTTCTTGTAGGATCTGTGATGAATTCTTTCATCTTCTGTATATTTTCCAAAGTTTATTTTTGCCGTTTTTTAAAAATGAACTTTTTGAGATATTATTCATATACCATACACTTTTCTCATTTAGAGTATACAATTCAATGTTTCAATTTGGGAATATTTTTAACTTTTATTTAATGAATATAAATTTCCAAAGTACAGCTTATGGATTACAATGGCTCCCCCCCCTCCCACCTGCAACCCTCCCCTTTCCCGCTCCCTCTCCCCTTCCATTCACATCAAGATTCATTTTCAATTCTCTTTATATACAGAAGATCAGTTTAGCATATATTAAGTAAAGGTTTCAACAGTTTGCACCCACACAGAAACACAGAGTGAAAAATACTGTTTGAGTACTAGTTATAGCATTAAATTACAATGAACAGCACGTTAAGGACAGAGATCCTACATGAGGAGTAAGTGCACAGTGACTCCTGTTGTTGACTTAACAAATTGACACTCTTGTTTATGGCCTCAGTAATCACCCTAGGCTCTTGTCATTAGTTTCCAAGGCTATGGAAGCCTTTTGAGTTCACCGACTCTGATCATTTTTAGACAAGGTCATAGTCAAAGTGGAAGTTCTCTCCTCCCTTCAGAGAAAGGTACCTCCTTCTTTGATGACCTGTTCTTTCCACTGGGATCTCACTCGTGGAGATCTTTCATTTAGTTTTTTTTTTTTTTTTTTTTTTTTTTTTTTGCTACATTGTCTTGGCTTTCCATGTCTGAAATACTCTCATGGGCTTTTCAGCTGGATCCGCATGCCTTAAGGGCTGATTCTGAGGCCAGAGTGCTGTTTAGGACATCTGCCATTCTATAGGTCTGCTGTGTATCTCACTTCCCATGTTGGATCATTCTCTCCCTTTTTTATTCTATCAGTTAGTATTAGCAGACACTAGTCTTGTTTATGTGATCCCTTTGACTCTTAGTCCTATCATTATGATCAATTGTGAACAGATATTGATCACTTGGACTAGTGAGATGGCATTGGTACATGCCACCGTGATGGGATTCAATTGGAATCCCCTGGTATGTTTCTAACTCTACCGTTTGGGGCAAGTCAGCTTGAGAATGTCCCGAATTGCACATCTCTTCCCTCTCTTATTCCCACTCTTATATTTAACAGCGATCACTTTTCAGTTAAGTTTCAGCACTTAAGAATAACTGTGTATTGATTACATAATTCAACCAAAAGTATTAAGTAGAACAAACAAAAAAAATACTAAGAGGGATAACGTATTAAGTTGTTCATCAACAGTCAGGGCAAGGGCTGATCAAGTCACTGTTTCTCATAGTGTTCATTTCACTTTAACAGGTTTCCTTTTTGGTGCTCGGTTAGTTGTCACCGATCAGGGAGAACATATTTTTATCACTTCAGAAAGCACATACACATCAGGACTCTGAGTTCCTACCTCTTTCCCGACCCTTCCTGTCCACTTTTTGTTTTGGTAAATTTGCCTATTCTGCATGTTGTATATAACTAGAATCATACACTACGTGGTCTTTTGTAGCTTTTATCACTAGTATGTTTTCAATTTCACCTGTGTTGTGGTAGGTACTAGTATTTATTACTTTTTGTTGGCTAATAATACCCATTGTATTTATCTTTGTTTTAGAACATTTTTGGCTATTACTTCTTCAAACATTATTTGTGGCTACCACCTGCCTCCTCACTTAGGGACTTAGGATATATATATATATCCTATGAATATTATGGCACTAAGAGTTATCCCACATATTACTGATGCTCTTTAATTTTTTTTCCCTCTATGTGTTTTCTTTTGAGTGGTTTTCATTCCTATATCTTCACATTCACTATTAGTTCCTTTAGATTGAGCTGAGCTATTGTTAATCCTAATCAGTGTATTCTTCAACTCAGGCATTGCAGTTTTCATACCTAGGGGTTTGACTTGGATCTTTCAGATATGTTCTATGCCTCTGGTTAGCCAAGGAGTGCAGTTATAATACATGATGCAGAATAGAATGCAATTATAATCACATTTTATAACTTTTAATGTACTTATCTGCTAATCCTAATGCCATTATCAATTGATTTATTCTTTTCCTGACTGTTCATCAAATTTTCCTGTTTCTTTGCATGCTTGCTAAAAATCTTTGATTGGATGCTAGACATTGTGCATTGTACTTTGTTAGTTTCTAGGTATATTCCTATACATGTTCTTGAACTTTGTTCAGAGACGCAGTTAAGTTACTTGGTAATACTCTGTTCCTTCAGACCTTATTTTCAAGACCTATTACATGAGGCCAGAGCAACATTTAATATAAGGCAATCTATTCTCTTAAGTCACGACCCTTCCAAAACCTCTACTTACTGCCCTATGATTTGTGAAATTTTCTGGCTTGAGTCTCAGAAATAGACATTTTCCTTGCCCTGTGTCAGTGCATGGTGCTTTTCCCTCTCATCATTTTGAGTGATTCTTTTCATGACCTCAGTTTGCTCACATGCTGTGCTGGAAGGAGAGCTTTCTGCAGATTTCTGGTTTTTTCTTCTTTGTGTCTCTCTCTTCCCCCATATTCTGTCCTATAAGCTCTAGTTCTCTTGATATTCCGATTCTCAGCTCTCTCTGTTTTAGAACATTTTCTGGACACTGAGTAGGTTCCCCCTCCCTGTACCATGTCTGGACATGTAAGCTAGGAAAATCGCTGGGTCACCTTCTTTTCATCTATCCTGTCATTGCTTCATGCCCATTGTCTTGAAAAGCAGTGTATCATGTATTTTGTCTGATTAGTTCCTATTACTTATTTCATCTTGGCTAGAAGCTAAAGTCCTTCGCTACAGACTTTTAAAGTCAGAAAGCAGCTCAAGGGTGGGTAGTCATTGCAGTGGGTAAGCTGCCTCCTGGAATGCCTTCATCTTGAGTCAACACACCTGGGGTTGAGTTCCAGTTCTGCTCCTGATTCCAGCTTCCTGATAACAGGCACATTGGGAAGCAGCTGATCATGGCTCAACTTATTGGGACCCTGCAACCCACGTGGGAAACCTGGCCTCTGGCTTTAACCTTGGATAGTGTAGGCATTTGGAGAGATGAACCCGCAGATGGAAGATTTTTCTCCATCTCTCTGCATTTCAAATAAAAATTAGAAAATAAGGAACCTCAGATTATTTAGGGAAATTCTTTTTACAAATGACAGCTCTGAAGCTGAACAGATTCCTGTGGTCTATATTAGAGCCCTAAATTTGGTTGCAATGTTGTATGATAGATTGGGTTTGTGATTAATTAGTTGGGTATCCTTAATTAATTTGCTCAAGCAATGAAAAGTTAACTATTAGTATTTCTCCTTCTCAGCTTCCTTCCCATTTGCAGGAGTAATTGAGAAGTGTTCGACCGAAGACTTTAATATCTAAATGATTAGTTCTTTGTAGATCATAGCTCTGAATGTGTTAGGAATGTGAAGGGGGCTCTCCCAAGGCTATTTCAAAAGAAAGTAACCGAGTCATCATCTGTGACCATGCAGCATGGAGCTGATAGCCCGCTCTACATCACTGAGTGCTTCATAAGGCAGGAAAGCTTATAGTAATCATAAATGCTGGCGAATAGCACACTGCTATGTATACAGCTGTAATACTCAATAGCAAGTCTTCAAATGTCCCCTTCACCACCACCACCCCAAAGCCCTACACTCCTTTGTCTAGTTACACAATGATACATCACACTGTTCCTTCTTCAGGGCATTTAACAAAACCTGAACTTACCGTGTATCTTTCTTTTCTTTCTTGTTGTCTATGCCCCACCCTTACCCCTGAAAAGGTGTGTGAGCTGTGTGAGGGTCTGGACCTTCCTCAGGGCTGTGTCTAGTACTCCACACGGGGCCTGGCATGTAGTGGGGCCTCATCAAGGAGTCACAGAATTGATGAATAAAAGAATAAAGCTCCTATAGGGACTCAGCCCAGCTAGGATGAAGGAGGACAGTCAGAACTGACCTTGAATTCAGAAACTTGAAACTCAAGATCAGTGTTGACATGAGCTGTGCTCACTCAGTTGACAAGTATCAACGAAGGGCTGGTTCTCTTAGAGGCTCGATGCCTCTTGAACAAGTCATTTAAACTGCTTAGGACTTACTTTCTTTGCATGTCAAATGGAGACAGTGATCTCTTCCAATAATGCATGTAAAACCACTCTTGAAGCTGCAGCATTTTACTTAAAATTTAAGATATTGTTGACTATGTTTATATTAACACTATTATAAATTCCCAATCCTTCTGGAAGGATCTTCATGGCCTTGGTCTGGGAAGACTTAAGCAGCTTCCTGTATTTATTATGTAAATATCTCAGCTGATATCAGTGACTAGTGAGTTTTCCTTGTGTGTTTTCCTTTTCTTTGGTGGGATCACTGCAATCCTTTCGGATTTTCTCAGGGAATGATAAGATGTCTTCATCCTCTCTTGACACCTCTCCCAGAGATATACGAGTGTAGGAGGGTTGCTTGGAAGTAAGCCACTGGGGAGGAGAAGGGGAGGAAGGCAAAGTTAGTGTTTGCACGTTGCCTTGGTTACAGGCATCACCTCCCTTCTGATCAGGGCCTGCCCTCCCAGAAAGCCTGGTTTCAATTTCCCCTTTGCAATGGGGACTGGGCCTTATTGCCAATTTAGATTTCACCGGTCAGCTGTTTGGCAGATTCTGGGCCCCTGAGGCCTTTTTTTTTTTTTTTTTTTTTTTTTTTTTTTGCTCAAGCTACTCACTGACCTTTTGTGCAGCCACGTCCCCTTGGTCTGATGGTTATGATCTGAGGTAGAATGAATGGCCTTATTACAGCTGCTCTCCTGATTGCACTAAAGAGGATCACGCTGCCCATAATTACAGGGTGGGGTGGGGTGTCGTCCCAGGAGAAAAGAATGTGATGAAACCTTATTCTACTGAATGAAATGCCTCGCATTTTGATAAATGCATTACATGGCTCGGAATGTCCCTAATATACTTGTACTCAACAATGGAGAAGTGGTATGAGGGAAAGAGCGAAGATAGCAGTGCAGGAAGCTTCCAAGAATTGAGATGAACCCTGAGACCATACAGTTTGCTTGACCCCATGATCTTTCAAGTTTATTCTCTAGCAAATTGAGTTCACTGTCCAGGAAGGTGTGGGAGACTGCTCAGGAGACAGTGGACATGTGGGAAAGCTTTGAGAGCCAGTGAGGGATGGCAGGGGGCCCCTACAGCAATGTGGATACACATGGCCATCAGGTTAAAGAGGAGAGATGAATGTAGATACCAAGAAGTAGACCTGGGCATTGGAAACTAGGAGCAAACTGAACCATTAATAGAACTGAGGGGACTCACAGCATTGCAACTGTAGGATGAGAACGAGTGGTTGGGGATGAAAAGGCATGGAGGAAAGGAATTTAAGGGCAAGATGTGCGGGTGGGGAAGCTGGTGTTCTGGCATCTGGAGCCATGGATGCTGGCTTCCTCTGGGGAGGTTCTTGGATGGGATCCCAGGGGAACTTTCCTAGGTGTGGAGGGGGTAGGGCAGGAGTTTTTCAGGCTGAGGAATCAGGTCAAACCATGGGACTGTGGAGATGATGCTAGTATTTCTGACAGTGCTTTGTAAGCTGGAAAAGGATTTAAATGTAGGTAATTATTGCTGTTTACTCTGTGATAATGAACCAGTGCAGCATTTTCCCTTTGCGCCAGCTGACCTCATTCAAGTCCACCTTCATCCATCTGAGGGGTTCTAGTGGCGTGGCGCCCACGGTGGGGAAGGGTCTCTGGCCCTGTAGTCTTCTCCCAGCAGTCTCCTTGGCCCTAATGCAGAATCGAAGAGGCTGTACCAAATGGTCTTTTCTAAGCCAAGAAGCTGTCCTGCTGAGCCTTTGCTACAACGACATAACCAAAAGGGATCTTCGAAAACTTCTTCCAAGAACAAAATGTTTTCCTGCAAAATGCTTTGCTATCTTCCCCATTAGAGATAGAGGTGTTGGCAATCAGAGAGCAGCCTACCTTGCTAAAATGAACGCTGTGAAGTCTTGTACTCTGATATGCATGCAATGTGCCAGGCATTATTATTTGTGACAATAAGGTGAAGACATTCATGGCCAGGGCAGCTAAGTAAGCTGTCCAAGTTCACACACCCGGTACAAGGCCCAGCCAGGTTTAGAAATCAGGCTCTGGACTTCAGATTCCATGCAATTTCTTTGACTCTTCAAGGTCATACTACCTTTAGGATGTTATCTCAATAACCCCCCTCCCCCATTCCCGCCCCATCCTTACTTTGTTTCTGGAAGGAAGACTACACCGTTTGTGAACCATGCTATTCATTATTACAGAAAGCATTTCAAGTCTGGGGCAGATTGTGAATAGTGTTTAACATTCCTGAACTGGAGATCTGGCCATCCTGGCCTGCTCGCTTTGATGGTAAGTTAAACATCAAGGCTGTAATAATAGACTCTGCATGTCTTAATAGAGAATAAAATCTGGGCATGCTGCACGTGCACAGGAAATTCCTTTAAAATAACCAAATATTAGGAGTTTATTTTTCATTCTTAAAATAAGAAATTGATTTATCTTCAAAAGTTACTTTTCAGGGTCGTCTTAAGCAGAGTGTTTTGCAGATGACAGTAATGTCAGTGTCTTCAGTCAGTGTGTGTGGGACAGAGAAACCGACCCCTACCCAGGCGACACCCGCGCAGGCTGGCATCTTCCTTCCACAGGGTCATTGTGGGCAGGCTTTGTCCGACTGTGTCCCAGCTTCTGCCCTCGCCCCCTCTTCTCCTCCACCCAACCACTTACTGGACGTCACTTAGTGCCCAGAAGGAGGCCTTTAAAATACATGTCAAAACGGTTCACTCCTTCCCAGCTTTGTTTTTCTTTCTACAATTTTCTTTATTCAGCAACCGTTAGCTGCACCCTTGCTGTGTGCCAGGTGCTGTTCTAGGGCCGGGAACATATCAGTGAATCAACCCAGGAATCCAGCCCTTCTGGAGCTGGTGGGGCCCAGCAAAGATAAACAAGGGGGAGATGCAAGCAGCAGGGTTGGGGGTAGCACTAGGGGAGAGTCATTGCGATTTTATGATGGTGTGATCAAGGACAGCCCATCGAGGACATCATGGCAGCTCGCAATCCTTCAGATGGCTTTTCCATCTCACTTAGAGGAAAAATCAAAGGCCATACAGCTACCCATAAAACCCCACAGGCCCCAGACCCCCCATAACTGCCCTGATATCATCTCCTGTTACCGCCCCTTTGGGTCAGTGGTCATGGAATTTCAGTAGGGGTCAAGTGGCCTGGAGGGCCTGGTAAAGGCCAAATTGCTAACACTGCCGAAATCCAAATGAGGTTTGCAGTTTAGAGAGTAGACTTACGTCTGTGTGAATCCCTGAGTTCTGTAACATCAGAGAACACTGGGTATCAGAGACATCTCTGCGCGACTTTTCTGTTAATCTGAAATTATCACCAAGGACACACACACACACACACACACACACACACACACAATGCTGGGCTTCCTCCGCTGTCTTCCCCCTCCCCCTTCAAGCGTCCCTTGTCTGCAGGGGTGGAAGGGGCCTGAGAACGTGCACTTCTGGCGGCTGCTGATGGCAGTGCTGTTGGCCCAAGAACCCTCGTTGGAGAACACAGCCCCGTAGCAATCAGCTCCGGTCACTGTGACCTGGCCCTCCTGGGACAGGCCTACAGGCTCCCACCCCAGGGCCCCTGAGGTTGCAGGGTTCCTTCCCTCACCCCATCCCTTCCCCCCTTGGTTTCTGCTCCACAGGAGGCCATTCACCTGTTTGGAATGGGCAGCCCAGCGCCCAGGCACCAGTCTCCCCAGCCTAACCTCCCTGCTTTCACGGTTTGCTCTATAGCTCTCAGGAGGGCCACTTCTATCCACTACTCTACAGCGTTCTGTCTCCTATAAATGCTTGCCCCAGGAATATAAACCCCAGGAGGGCAGATTCCTGGTCTCATTCTCTGCCGCGGTCCCTGGCACTCAGCTTGGTGCCACATCACAGCATGTGCACAAAGGCTAGGGGGTCACTGTAACAAAGAGGGGGCCGAGACTGGCCAGGAGGAGCGGTGCAGAGCGTGGTTAGGCGCTCAGGGTCAGGGTGGGCGTTTGGCCTTGCCTAAGACACCGGTTAGGACGCTCACTAGTTAGTCTCATCTCGGCATCTCTAGGTTCAATTCCCAGCTCCGACTCCTGGTTCCAGCTCATTTCCTGCTAGTGCAGACCTGGCAGTCTGTGGGGGTGACTCAAGTGACTGGGGCTCTGCTCTCCACGTGGACTGAGTTTCCAGCTCCGGTGGCCGATGTGTGTATCTGTGCAGTCCACCAGCACATGGAAACTTTCAAGACAGAGAAAGCTAGCTAGCTCAAATCCAAGAGTCAAAATGATCTGGCCCGAGATACATATTCCTTGTTTGATCTTGGACAAATTACTTTCCTTAACTAGAACTGGGGGCTCCAGAGCAACCCCCCCCCACACACACAGGGAAATGTGAGAAATCAATGCAATTGCACAACTGATCTACTTAGCCAAGTGTTGGCCACAGGGTCATCACTCTGTCAGTGTCAGCTAATGTTATTTTGCTCTACAAAGTTTGCGCGTGTGCTAACTCAGGCAGAGCCCTGGCTATCGTTCAGCTTCTGCAGTCTGACTGCTCCTACCTGAAATGCTTGGATCCCAAAGCGTTGCAGATTTTGGAGTCTGTATAAGCAGGTCACCAGTCAAGCCTCCCTAATACAAAACCTGAAGTCCACAACGTTCTGAAAACTGGGACTTTGTGAGAGCCGAGTTCCAGATTTTGAATCGGTTCTGATTTTGAATTTTTGGATCAGGGATGATTGGCTTGTATTGGAAGCAATTCCTTTGAGATTTATGAAAAGTAAATAATGACATGGAGACTGTTTAAGCCACTAAGCAAAAGAATACCTATGCACATGTTTATAGTAAATATCAGTTACAAATATTTATATTTAATTTCATTAATAATTACATTAATTATGTTAGCATAAGATCTGTTACCATTATATTATGCAGGCTGAATAACCCTTACCAATATGCCTGGGATCAGAATATTTGCATAAACATATTGAGATGTTTCAGTGAGATCTACATGTAAACATTAAATTCACTCATGTTTCTTATACCTTTGTACATGTAACCTGAAAGATTTTTTCTTTTTTTTTGACAGGCAGAGTGGATAGTGAGAGAGAGACAGAGAGAAAGGTCTTCCTTCACCGTTGGTTCACCCCCCAATGGCCACTAGGGCTGGCACGCTGTGCTAATCCGAAGGCAGGAGCCAGGTGCTTCTCCTGGTCTCACATGCGGGTGCAGGGCCCGAGGACCTGAGCCATCCTCCACTGCACTCCTGGGACACAGCAGAGAGCTGGACTGGAAGAGGAACAACCGGGACAGAATCTGGGACTAGAACCCGGTGTGCCGGTGCCGCAGGCAGAGGGTAAGCCTATTGAGCTGTGGTGCCGGCCTGAAAGATAATTTTATACCATATATATATATGTGTATATATATATATATATATATTTTTTTTTTGACAGGCAGAGTGGACAGAGAGAGAGAGACAGAGAGAAAGGTCTTCCTTTGCTGTTGGTTCACCCTCCAATGGCCGCCGCAGCCGGCGCACTGCGCTGATCCGATGGCAGGAGCCAGGTACTTCTCCTGGTCTCCCATGGGGTGCAGGGTCCAAGCACTTGGGCCATCCTCCACTGCACTCCCGGGCCACAGCAGAGAGCTGGCCTGGAAATGGGGCAACCAGGACAGAATCCGGCACCCTGACCGGGATTAGAACCCAGTGTGCCAACGCCGCACCCGGCGGAGGATTAGCCTAGTGAGCCGCGGCACCGGCCACCATATATATTTTTAAACTTTGATTTATTTATTTGAGAAATAGAGAAAAGAGAGCTCTCATCTACTGGTTCATTCTCCAGTGATCTTCAACTATGAAGCTGGGAGCTGGAAACTCCATCCAGGTCTCCCACGTGGGTGGCAGGGACCCCACCACTTGAGCCATCACCTGCTGCCTTCCAGGGTGCACACCATCAGCAAGCTGCAATCAAGAGAAGAAGCCAGGTATTAAACCCAGACTCACTGATGCGAGTTGCAGATGTCCTCCTGATGGCTTCACTGCGAGGCCAAATGCACACCCCTATAATAATCTTAATAATTTTGTGCGTGAAAGTTTCATGGTGCAGAAATTTCCACTCATGGTATCATGTCAGTGCTCAAAAATTTCAGATTTGGAATATGGATTAGGGATGCTGAACCTGCATATTAGTAACCAACATAAAGATTAATTAATACACTGATGTATTTATGTTTAATCGTTAATAGATATTTGCATGCTTCTTTCCTATATTTCTTTAAAATCGAGCAAATCACATTCCACATTTGAGCTGTTCAGCTGAAACTCATTAACATGGCCCTAGTTAACACTCTCTTGGGCAGCTCTGTGCTCACGTGACTGTAGCTCTTTGCTCAACAACGAACCGCACTCCACATCATTCACTTGGTGTGGATGACCCAGGTCTGTCTTGGGGCAGATGTACTGAGCTGGAACCTTCTTTCTTTTTTTTAAAGATTTATTTATTTTACTTGAAAGTCAGAGTTACACAGAGAGTGGAGAGGCAGAGAGAGAGAGAGAAAGGTCTTCCATCTGCTGGTTCACTCCCCAATTGGCTGCAACGGCTGGAGCTGTGCCGATCCGAAGCCAGGAGCCAGGAGCTTCTTCCGGGTCTCCCACGTGGGTGCAGGGGCCCCAGGGACTTGGGCCATCTTCTGCTTTCCCATGCCATAGCAGAGAGCTAGATGGAAAGTGGAGCAGCCAGGTCTTGAACTGGTGCCCGTATGGGATGCTGGCACTTCAGGCCAGGGCGTTAACCTACTGCGCCATAGTGCCAGCCCCATGGAACCTTCTTTCTATCCCCATTATGATCCTCCTAACACTCCCATCCTGGCCTAAAAAGTCCATCCACGCACAGCATCTTGGTCGGCATCCTCAGGACTGGAGAGGTTGAATATGAAACTGGATGTCATGGGCCTTGTAACTTTCAAGGGACGACTCAGAGACGGAAGGATTTAGAAGAGAGGTTGACTCATAATAAGCTCTAGGAAGGCAGACTTCAAAAAGACCGGCTGGTCAAATAAAAAGCACGAAGGGCATTAAAAGAACAGAACCTCAAGATCGCCAGCATTGCCAAGGGCACGTCAGTCTGTTTCTGGTGGAAAAGCAGTGTTCTTGCAAGATCGTCACGTGCAGGAAGGTTGAGATGCATCTACAGCAGTGAGCGTGGCAAACATCAAGAACACATCCACTTTTGCCAAGGCTCCGTGCTTCAGGGAAATAAATATCCCAGTTATTTTGAGGGCACACCCAGATGTGTACCATTATTTTTTTTTACTCATTCCAGGGTACAAAATTTGTGTGTGTATCCCCCTGACAGTGGAAGGGCCATGTGTGTTTATTACAAATGGTGATACAGTAAAATGTCAGCCGTGTTCCACACAACTTCCCAGGCCACAAAGTTCAGCTCTTGCACGGCCCTTGGTGCTGCTGCTGTTAATGGGAGTTTTGTTCCCTTCATCTGACCAAACGTTTAGCTAACAGTAGCTGCCATTCATTCAGCGCCCATGAAATGCCAGGGCTGGAGCGAGGCCCATTACAGAATTAATAGCCTAATATTTACCGAGTTTTTTTCCATTCCAGATTCTGCTGTTTGAAAAATGGTGGATCATTTGCTCTTAGAACAACTCTTTAAAAGGTAGGTACTATTCTCATTTCCATTTTACAGATGGGCAAACCAAGGCCCTAGAAGGTAAGTAACTGGCCTTAACATCACACCGTGGGTGAGCTGAGGAGCTGGCATGGGAACCTGATTACACTATGCCGCTCTTACCATATCTGCAAACCTTCATTAAATCCTCGCAATCCGGGAAGCAGACTTTGTAGCCCGCATGTTATAAATGAGGTGGAGAGTTTAATTCACTCGGTAAGGTCACACAGAAAATGTCAGAGGTTTAAATCTGAGCGTTTTTGCCTCCCTGATTTCCTAGTGCACTCCCGTAAGGCCGGTAGACGTCCTAGCTCCTGTTGCCACCACCTGGCTCCTGGAGAGGCGCACCCGCGGATGTGGGACTCACCTGGGCCATCACTCTCAGCTTCTGAGATCCTTGAGAGGCAGGGATGCCTTGATGGTGTTGGGAGTAAGGATGAAGGCGTTCTCTTCCGGTCAAAGAAATCACTATTTTCCAGCTGTCAGCTGTCTAGTGTGTTTCCATTCAGTCTTTGCTAAGGAGCTTCAGTGCACACAGCCCTGTGTGGTGGGGGTGTTTGGGGCCAGAGAGAGAGAGAACAGTGTGGCAGGCATGCACAAAACAGTAGAAGAGGGGACCAATGGGAGATGGGCTTGAGAAGGAAGGAGGGAGAGAGGAATTGGCATTTGCTGAGAGATTTTCTACACGCCAGGAGCTAAGCAAGGCATTCAGTGTCTACTATTCCAGTGACTCCTCAGATGAGCCCATCTACATCGCAGAATTACCCTTTCTTCATGGAGCTTAAGTCATTGAGCACACAGCACTTAAGGGATAGAGTGGAGCTCAGACTTGGTCTTGAGTAGTGACAAAGTGGTCATTCCACACTGTTGAGGCTTTACAGGAGTTCCAATCTCCTTGGGGGAAAAAGCCCACACAGGCAACTTGATCCCTTTCTGACCTCATGGCTAAAGATAACTTCCTCTGGTTTTAACGAGGCTCAAATCCTAGCCCTGGTTCCTTGGAGGTTGTTAAGGGGACAGCTACTGTGCCACGACCTCCAGCATGGCAGGTCACAAGTCTGGACCCTGAGGGCTAAACATGGTGGATGCACAGGGCGCTGCCATCGGCAGGCCAGTTGGGCCTGGAAATGGAGGCCAGAGCCCAAGGATCTAAGGGAGGCTGTGACAAGCTGGTGTGCAGATGGCCCCTCTAGAGCCCCCTGAGGGCCGATCGGTTGGGTTCCACCCAGCATGTGGCAGCCAGGCCCTGTGCTGGGGATAGAGACACCAAAACAAAACACCAGGCTCATGATGTAGGATGCACAGATGGGCAAAGAAACACAGCTCCGTAAGGGCCAGGGTTCCTTCATTCAGCTACCTGGGCAGCCTCGGCAGGGCCGGACGACCCAGCACCTGCTTCAGCCTGAGCTCTGCTTCCTGGATGGTCTGAGTGACGGCTGGGTCTGTGAGCCTGCGGGTTACAGTGTGTCTAGCTCGTGTGCATGAGGCATGCCGCTTGGATTTGATGTTCATTTCAGAAGATGCGCTTTCAAGTAGAGGAGAGCGAATGAGAGAGCATAGGGAACGAAGATTCTTCCGTGTGCCCGGTCTGGTATTGAGATTCTATCAGTCCACTGGAGCAAAACCTAACATTGCTATTGCAAAATGCTATAAAACCTAACACTGCTAATGCAGAATGCTATAAAAACTATTGACAGCAATATGATGATGAATTTTGAATATAAGAGATTCATGGAAATTTCAGATGAAAAAATAGCGTGCGATTCTACTATAAACATTTTTAAAGGGTTGGGGTTGGCTAGATAATTTTTTAAAGGATTTATTTAATTTGGGATTTATTGAATTTTTTCTTTATTTGAAAGAGTTACAGAGAGAAGGAGAGACAGAGAGACATCTTCCATCTGCTGGTTCACTCCCCAAATGGCGATAAGCCAGGGCTGGGCCAGGCCGAAGCCAGGAGTCTGGAGCTTCCTTTGGGTCTCCCAGATGAGTACAGGAGCCCAAGGACTTGGTGCAGTAGCAGGGAGCTAGATGGGAAGTGTAGCAGCTGGGACTCAAACCAGCACCCATATGGGATGCCTATGTTGCAGAGGGAGGCTTAACCTGCTATGCCACAGCTCTGGAATCCTCTATATAGATTTTTTAAAAGATTTATTTATGGACGGCGCCGTGGCTCACTAGGGTAATTCTTTGCCTGCAGCGCCAGCACTCCGAGTTCTAGTCCCGGTTGGGGCGCCAGATTCTGTCCCGGTTGCTCCTCTTCCAGGCCAGCTCTCTGCTGTGGCCCAGGAAGGTAGTGGAGGATGGCCCAAGTGCTTGGGCCCTGCACCTGCATGGAAGACTAGGAGGAGGCGCCTGGCTCCTGGCTTTGGATCGGTGCAGCGTCGGCCGTAGTGGCCATTTGGGGGGTGAACCAACGGAAGGAAGACCTTTCTCTCTGTCTCTCTCTCTCACTGTCTAACTCTACCTGTCAAAAAAAATATTTATTTATTTATTTGAAAGTCAGAGTCACACAGAGAGAGAAGGAGAGGCAGAGAGAGAGAGAGAGAGAGAGAGAGAGAGAGAGAGAGAGAGAGATGTCTTCCATCCACTGGTTCACTCCCCAATTGGCCACAATGGTAAGAGCTGTGCAGATCTGAAGCCAGGAGCTTCTTCCAGGTCTCCCACGCAGGTGCAGGGCCCAAGGACTTGGGCCATCTTCTACTGCTATCCCAGGCCATAGCAGAGAGCTGGATTGGAAGTGGAGCAGCCGGGAGTCCAAGCAGCGCCCATATGGGATGCCGGCACTGCAGGCAGCAGCTTCACCCGCTACGCCACAGTGCCGGCCCCAGCAAGATAATTTTAAAAGCAAATAATAGCCTCTTTGAGCCAAGCGATTTTAAAGTATGAACACTAAAACATGATAATATACTAGAGATTCATTAGATCAGAATGCTAATGCTTGTAGAATTATTTGATATGTAAGTATTAGTAATTCTACTTAAATGATTTTAAGTAACTTTTCAATTTTTAGATACGTGTTTCTCATTTAGGTCATATTTTGAGAAAAAGTTTATTTGGAATATTTCACCTTTTTGCTTAAGATTTATTTTTATTTAGTAGAGAGAGAGAGAGAGAGAGAGAGAGAGAGAGAGAGAGATCTTCCATCTGCTGGTTCATTCCTCAAATAGCCAGAGCAGCAGAGGCCGGGTCAGGCTTAGGCCAGGAGCCTGGAACTCCATATGGGTCTCCGTATGGGTGGCAGGAGCCCACACACTTGATATATCCTCTGATGCTATCCTAGATGCATTAGCAAGGAGCTATATTGGAACTTGAGCATCTGAGATTGGAATCAATGCTCCGATATGGGATGTCGGTGCCTCAGGTGGCCCTTAACCCACTGCATCACAAGGCTGGCCCCTGCTTTACCTCTTGTGAGGGGATTTTTTTTTAAAAATTAAAATGCAGGGCTGGGCATTGTGGTGCAGCTCATTAAACTGTTGCTTGGATGCCCCCATCCCATATCTGAGTGTTGGTTCAAATCCTGGCTTGCACTTTCTATCCGGTTTCCTGATAATGCACCTGTGAAGGTAGCCAATCAGGGTTCCTGCCACCCATGTGCGATACCTGGATAGAGCTCCTGGCTTCAGCCTAGCCCTGGCTATTGTAGGTAACTGGGAGTAAAAGGCAGATGAAGATTTCTCCCTCTCTCTGCCATTCTGCCTTTCAAATGAATAAATCTTAAAAATCTAAAATGTCATCTTTGCCTCCTCAAAGGAGAAGAAAAAACTCCAAAATGATGTTGAACAATGGCTATGATAAACTCTCTTTAATCTAGACAAAATAACATACCTGGTGAGGTCGGCGCTGTGGCGTAGCAGGTAAAGCCACCAACTGCAGTGCCAGCATCCCATATGGGTACTGGTTCAAGTCCTGGCTTTCCACTTCTGATCCAGCTCCCTGCTACTGCACCTGGGAAAGCCATGGTAGATGGCCCAAGGGTTTGGGCCCTTGCACCCATGTGGGAGACATGGATGCACCTCCAGGCTCCTGGTTTGGCCTGGCCCTGCCCTGGCAGCTGCAGCCAGTTGGGGAGTGAACCAATGGATGGAAGATCTCTCTCTGCTTCTGCCTTTCCAATAAATAAAGAATTTTTTTTTTTTTTTGAAGAATGTCCCTGGGTACTTCAAAAGTTCAAGGACAATGGAATTAAAAGTTTATTTTGTGCAAAAATATCACACTCCATGCACATGAGGGATCTTCAAGAATTTTAAAAAATGTACATTATGGAAAAACCATGCACACTTCAATGTTATTTAAATAGTATTTCATACTACACATTTCCATGAACTTCTTAAAGATCCCACATATACATGGATTTCAAAAAAATTTGCATCAAAATCAATCAACTTCTCTTTTAATTCCAGTTTCAACGAACTTTGAAGTGCTCCTGTACAAAACTGGAACCAAATTAAGAGCGTGTAGAGGGTATCAACGAACTGGTGAGTTTCTGGTGACTCCAACAGGAAGAGCCAGACTTTACGAAAGTCTGTCTTAGCCCTGAGCCGGCGGCAACCTCGCTTCAGTCAGCCCCACCAGACAGGAGGAACTGATCCCTCAAGTGTCAGCAGCACCTGGGCCAGCGGCCCCTCCTCAGCGTGGCTGGCCAGGAGGTACCTTCCTTGCCTGCTCCACTTCCTGCTGAAAGGGAGTCAGATGGTCACCATTGCCACCTCTGCAGCGGTGCCTGCTGTGACATTCCTGGGCCAGCACTCACGTCAGAAACTTGAGGTGCAACCACTGATACTGTTCATGAGAAATTGCAATAGCAAGTCAACCATGGCTGTAATCTGAGCTGCAGCCCCCACAGGCCTCTACCGTCTTATTCCTGTGTTGCTGTGGCCACTGGTGTTCTTCAGGGAGGCACGACCCAGTCCCAGCCCACTCCATTCCCTCTCACCTCCTTCTGCCCAGGATTCTCTGTGGACTCCAGGGGCCTGGCTGGATGCCCAGCTTGTGCAGTCTAAGATAGTTCCCCCTGATAAGTTCTTCCCCTTTTCCTTGACTGAGAGAACCCTGAGACGTAGGCTACATATTGCTCAGGGAATGGCCCCGCAGGAACCCCAGCCAGTCATCCTTGTCTGGGACCAGCTGTGTAATGCATCCTATTCTTGGCTCTCCCTCTGTGGTGTATTTAAAAATAGACCCACAAATTCTTTGCTATCCATCTCTGCAACAGGTGACGTTATTCCCTTGAGTGGGGATGGGACCTAGTGCCTCACTTGTAAAGAACGGAATCGCACAAAAGCGATGGATGTCATTCCCAAGATTGGATTATAGATATAAAAACCTGTGCCTTCCTTCTTGGGTTCTCTCTGTTATGGGCTAGATTGTGTCCTCTCAAAATTCACATATTGAAGAACTGTCCCATGGTATTTCAAAACATGACTCTGCCATGGGCCTGCTCTCTGGGGGAAGTAAACTAAGATAATGCAAAATTTCATCCATGATGGTCATAGTCTGCTCTGACCTTGGCTTTTGGTTGATTATTGCCTTTCAACATTTGACTGTTCAGGATTTGATCAAAATGTATATTCAGTATATCTCTAAGGGATTGCATGAAGTCAGAATTTATCAACTAAGCGTCTGCTCTGAGCAGGGACTGGGCCATTCCAAGATCTACGGCAGGCACAGAAGACAACTATTCTCTACTTGTGTAGTGCCCACAGATTGGGGACACATTTCAGTAAATGTATATGACCTTTTCACAGGGTCCCTGGGGCTCCGCCCCTCCCTAAGGCCATGGAGTATGCCTACCCTACAGTCCCAGGGGCTCCTTCCACCTGTCTGTCATGAAGGGGTCACTCACTCAAGACACTTGAGTGCATAGGTCCCTCAATGTGCAGTTCTAGATGCCAACAGCTTCCCAGTCCTTCTTTCGATAGATTTCATGGAGAACTGCTGTTGGGGAGGCCAGGCGTGGGTTAGTGGTTATAAGCAAGAACTCAGTCCTCAGACTGTGTTCAACTCTTGACCCTTCTTCTCCAGCTGTGAGACTTAGGCAAGGTTAACAATGCCCAAGGCCCCATTGGTGAGATAATAATAGTACCTACCTGTGGGCTGCGGTAAGTATTTGTGTCAATCATGTCTCCAGGGTGCTCAGGAGGGGCCTGGCATTAGATAAGCATTGGCAATAGGTATGGGCTAGGCTCAAAGCGGGGAGTCAAACAAGGTGCCAGCTGCCCTTGTCTGGGCTGGGAATGCTTTTAGGGAACCTGTAAGCCATGTATGTGCCTGCTTCACTCCAGGCTGAAGTCTGGGGTCAGAGGAAAGAACACGTGTAGAAACCTGGAATCCAAACCTTGGGGAGGCATCAGAAAGGAAATCTCTCAAGTCTTTCCTTGTACAGCCTAGGGGTTCGAGTTAGCAAACAGCCTCTTCAGTTTCACAAGAAAACTGCTTTTCTCTAAAAACCAAGACAGATATCCCAGTATGTAACCTATAGCTTCCAGAAGCCAGTGAACCTGCAGGCACTCAAGTCAACAGGCCTAGCTGCTAGCAGCTCACGCAAACAGTGCCTGGGCCTGGCCGGAGTGCAGCACCAGCTTGCTGAAGAGGTAAATAAAGACCCAGGAACCTGGGAGGGTGGAACAAGGGCCTCTGGCATGTCTACATCCTCATCCTTGGAAGCTGCAAATGTGTCCTTATATAGTCCAAAGGGGTTTTGCAGATGTGATAAAGTACAAGAGCTCAAGATGGGGAGAGTAGTCCGGATTGCCCACATGGGTCTAATGCAATCACAGGGGTCTATAAGAGGAGGCAGGGATGTCAGAGGCAGAGGAGGAGGAACAATGGACAGAGATTGGAGCAATGTGGCCACCCGGCATGGGCTGTAGGTGACCTCAAGAAGTTAGAAGAGGCAGGGAATGACATCTTGGGAGCCTCTGGAAGGAAATGGCCGACTCTTCCATCTGAGCCCCACAAGACTGGATTCCCGTCATCCGGAATTTAAGAGTAATCTGTGTGTCATTTCTAGCCACAAGAAGAAAACTCATGTCCTAGCCTGATACTATTTGGGAAGTGAGCAGTGAGAGAGCTGAATAGGTTTCCCTCCCACAGGGATTTCTCAAAGTCAGGATCACGGTACTGCTTGGGGAGGCCCCGCCGGGTACCCACCCGGGGGTCTCTGGGAGGCTGCAAGCTCATTTCCAGGAAGTGAGGGATCTCATTTGCTCTACAAGGATGGGCAAAGAGCCTGCAGGGGACGAGATGAGCCCTGCACTGCAGCCGCCCTGACAGTAGCCTGGAGGTCAGGTCCTGGGAAAAGCTGATACCAGAAGTAGGGGCTCTGGGGACAGCTCGTGGGGACAGCTGACTCTGTGCGAGGCAGAGGGGGAGAACTGCAGGGTGGCAGGACCCCGCTGGCTGCCGAGGCGCTGAGAGCTACGTGATGCTGGCCTCAGACTCCTGAGGAATTGAGGCTGTCAGACCCCACGGTCAGAGCAAGGCCAGCCTCCGCAGCCTGGCAGGGAACACTCCATCTCTAGAGCCGGGAAGACCTAGGTTTGGTGCTGCTCTTGCTCTGGCCGTGTGATTTTTTTTTTTTTTTTTTTTTTTTGGTCAATCCCATGAGCATCTCCAAGCCTGTTTCATCATCTGCAAAAGTAAAATCACAAAAGTTGGAGCACGGTAGTAAAGATTGTAAGCCTCGTACTTTGTAGACACCTGCTGCACGCTAGGACCGTTTTAAGCACGTTCCAGGTCCATGATATTCCGAGTCTAAGGACACCTCTCTGGTGTGCATCCTGGGCTTGTTCCTTTGTAAAGATAACAGGGGCTATCTCAGAAAGGGGAATGTGCAATCAGTTAAAATCTGTAGTTCACATTCATAAAGGCACAGTCAGTGACATCTATTACTGTCATTGTCTCCATGGGATTATTGATTTTTCCTCCCACAGAGAGCTTCCCTCCTCCATTCTCTGCACTCATTCTTCTATGGAGGGGTCTGAATCCCTCCAAAGGCTGCAGCAAGTCCGCTGAGGGTTTTCTGATGCTTTGCAGCCTTGGTTTCCCTCTCGGTGCTGGGCCCGCAGTGGGAGCTGGAGCGTGGCTGGACAGCACATCTGGCAGAGCAGATGTGGCTCCTGCAGCTTCCGCTCAGATGTCACCTGCTTTCTGCCCCTTTGATGGACCCCTAAACCCCAAAGGCTCTTCCAAATGACAAAAGATGGCAAACAGCTTTTCAGCGTGTCTGTCTCAGGTGGCTTGGATGTCCAGAGCTGGCCCTGGGGTGACGATGACAGACAGGAGCCCAACAGAAGCAGAGCAGTGTTCTAGACGGGAACGTGCTCATCCCTGGGAGCACAGCCCAGCTGCCTCTCAGGCACGTGCGCCTTGCAAGCAATGCTTGGTTCCAGCAACCGAGGCCCCAATTTCTTTTGGCTCACCAGCCTCAGAGCCAGCCGCTGGAAGCAATACCGGGGCTCCTATTGACTGCTTGGAACAAATGCTACAGGCCGGTAAGCTTTCCAAGGGCCAGGGTGTATTGGCTCCATCTAAGTGTCTGGCATTTGCCAGTGGTTCCCTGACTGGTCTCGGGTGGAGACCCCCACCCCTTGCCTTCCAGAATCATCAGTAGGGCATGCTTCGCCCTCTGAGATTGGGTTGCTCTCCAAGCATCAGTCTCCCCAGGCTCCTGTGTAAAGCAGTTTCCAACCTGAATGTTTGTGAGTTGACAGGCCACATACCATCATCCTGATGGACAGGGTAGCATGGTGGCAGAAAAGCCGTCACCTCATCAAGGGCACAGGTGACCAGGGGTGATGGATTTTCCGCAGCTCTGGGAAAGTCTACAAATCCCCTGTATAAACACCAGCTTGACAGTGAAAACGCTTTTCCCTTCTACCGTGGAGGGCAGCAGACAGAGCAAATATTGACAAAAGGGCAGGTTTGCTTTCCTAGGAGACCTGAGACAGGTAAACGGGGCAGGCGAGGAATGCTTTCAGTCTTATCAACAGGGGGAAGCTCCCTCTCTTTGCCTAAGCGTGAGTGGGGTTTTATGAGACTCAAGAGGCAGTTTGGAGCTTTTTAAGGCAGGGAGGCTCCGCTCCGGGCAGCAGCAAAGTCATCTGAGGTCTGGCTCGCTCCTGCCCTGGGATTCTGATGCAGGAGGTCTGAGGCGGGGCCCTGGAAGCTATCTGTGTGTTGACAAAGCTCCCTGGTGGCTTTGATATTGGCTAAGGCACTGAGCCACTCAAGAGAAAAGCATGCGAGTTCAACCTGACCCTTGATCCTTAGCTGTCTCCCAAATATGCAGTCCGGGTCTTCAGGGGACAGAGTGGACGATGCAAAGATATCACTTGAACCTAAATGCTTTAGAAAGCGCCACTTGGACCTGGCTGGGGATGAAGCTTCATTAGACACAAAGGCAGATGTCCAAGTGGATTTCCAAAGACCCTCAGAATAAAATCTAAACGCGTCCAGGCCTACCCAACCTGTTCTCCTCTAAGAACCCCAGCTGGCCTCACTGCTCCTTGCTCACTGCACTTCAGGCTTGTGCCCTGGTGAGCCCCTTCCTCCTCTGCCCCCACATGCCTGCTGATCTCTGCACTCCCACTGTCCTGCTCCTCTCTAAGACCATTTCTGAACTGCCCCGGACCCCGGCCTGAAGGTGCACCCCAGGATTCGGTCTCCCGCCCTCTGTTCATCTCCTTGTTTATGAACACAGTTGACTGCTGTTTACTGCTCATGTCCCCTAGGACAGCAGGGGCATCGCTGGCTTCTGCCACCAGCCTGTCCTCAGAGCCTGGCGGACCCCCTGGTGCATCGGATGTGCTTGGTGGAGGTTTACTGGGTGACCCAGTGAACACACGCAAAGCTGAATGAACTCACCATCCCCCTTCAAAGGGGCCCAGGAGACCACCGCCTGACTGGCGTTTTGGGAGTTGAAACTGCTTTTCTAAGAAAGCCTCATTTGGGGTGATTTAAAAATAAAAGAAAGGAGGCCACATTCCCCTGCTTCCTCAGTGACCGGCCCTCAGAGCCTCGGGCATTTCTCCTTCCTGCCCAGTCAGCTCTCCTCCTTCTAGGGCCCCGCCCGTCCGTCCTTCAGTGCCTGGCTGCCTCTGTTAGAGACAATCTCAAGCCCCTGGAGAACCTTCCTAATGCTCCTTCTCCTCCCAGCAAACACACCTCCTTGATGCCCGTTCCTTCTCTACCTTCTAGACCCTTCGAGAATAAGGTTCCTTGTGCTCAGGGTGGGGACAAGGTCTGGGCAGTGGGTAGAGAACACTTTGGCTCCTACAAGAAGCAGGTAACCGAAGGGCATCCACCAATGTTTCTGGCTGCTTTTAGTAGCATTGGCTTTCTGGATTTGCCTTCCCAGGAGACTGGGGGCCCATTCCAGCCAGGGCCCACTATGAGCTCTCTATGTCCCCCCAATCCTTCCTCCACCGACCATACCACCAAGTCATAGGGTGAAGACGAAATCAGGTTTACTTTCAAGATCATTAGAGCTAGCTAGCTTTTCGTATTGCTTCTCAGCCCCCAAATTCACGCATAAACATTCATTGGCAAAAAAATAAATAAATAAAAAAAATCCAAAAACAAAACTAAACCATGGGGGAAAGGGGACGGCTCGTCCTATGGGTAGACGGAACATTTGTAATGTAAACCTAGTTGAATTAGTGCTGTATGGGGATGATTTCTAACTGGTAAGTTACATCAGCACAGTGGCATGGGGTGGCAGGGAAGACAGGAGGAGGAGGAATTGGGAAGCAAACGTGGCTTATGTCCTGTCTCTATCATTTACTAGGCTTTGCAAGTCATTTAATGTTCCATCTGAAAACTAGGAATAATCCTATTTTTTGAGGATGTCATACAATGAAAGATGTCATACAATGAAAGACACAGACCAATGTTAGGTCACATTTATCGAACACGTATCATGCATGGGAAACTTTTTAAAATGCTCTGCCTGTATTAGCTCACTTAACCCTTACAGTTGCCCTGTGGCTGTTTCCCCATTTCACAGATGTGGACACGGAGGCACAGGGAGGTGGAGGAGCAATGCCAGGAAATGGGGACGAGGGTTTGTGCACAGAGGCCGGGCCTGCTTTCCCTACCGCTCTGCAGCACTTCTCTGTCAGAAAACATCGGGACATCAGGGGTCTTTCCCGGTGGAAAAGAAGAGATGGGGGTAGGATCACTGAAGCCTGCAGCATAAGATTGGCAGGTGGAAGCCGATCCGATGCACCTGGTAAGAAAAGGAGAGAGTGCCTGAATTATAATGGCTGTCATTGGTCATGTCTGATATGATCCCCCCTCTGCCAATGCAAAAACCCCTCGTAGAATTTGACCTGTGATGGGCGCTCTGGCCTGAGTGGGGCAGCCTAGTGCATGTGTGTGTGTCTGTATCCTTTTGTCGTGGGTCTGATGTGGGTGTCTTGTGCTCTTTAGTCCCCGTTTCTCATCAGCAAACTTCACCAGTCAGACTCACCCGAGTCAGCATTGCCTGGTAGTGATAGTTTTAGCTATTTCCACCTTGTGCTCTCGTTGCTAGGTATTTGCTGCAAGTGCCACCCTGGAGGAGTGACGTGAGCTTAGTGATTCCTGTCTCAGCCCCGTGGCCGCGGGGCTCAGTGCTAACAGTGGCAGTGTAGAGGGTTTTAGCAACCAGATGACACCTCAGAGGAAGAATGTCTGCCCCGTCCTGATGTCCCCAGTCCCTGCAGTCACGGACACCTTTCACACTGTGCCACATTCTTTGTAACTCTAAACTAATTCCTTCCGATTCCATTAGATTGGAGTTTATTCCATTCACATCACTGTTCATTCATTCATAAGCCCATCCATCATCCATTATCCATCCACCCATTATCCATCTGTCCATCTATTAGTGAATCCATAATTCATCATCATTCCATCGGTCATTCCATCCATCCACTATGAGCACATATTGAGCACCTACTGTGAACCAATCCAATTCCTAGTACTGAGGAATCAGCAGTGAGTCAGGTGCTCGGCTCAGGTCCCCGAGGGGTCACCATGTAACAGCTACCATCGTTTAGTGCTCATGTATTATCTTCAACCCTCCCAAACTTCATCTACTCACCACGTGTACAAATTTTGCCACATTCATATGCTATTATTTGCTTACTACTTGTTTTTAAACAAGCTAACCTATTTTTCTTAAAGAATTTGTTTTTAAAGGCAACTTTATACCACTGATAACCTGCATTTGATATAATTTGTGGATATTCACAAATAATTAAAGTATACATGGCCTAGTGTTTAAGGGGTCTGTGTCGGACATCAGAGTACCTGGGCTTGATCATGGCTTTGGCTCTTGACTCCAGCTTCCTGCTAACACACATCCTGGGAGGCAGCAGTGTTGATTCAAGTAATTGAGTGCCTGCCACCCACATGGGAGACCTGGGTTGCGTTCCTGGCTCTTGAGCTTGGCCCTGGCCCAAAGCAGCCCTAGAATTTGCAGATATCTGGGGAGTGAATCAGCAGATGGGAGTTCTCTGTGTATGTGTTCTCTGTCTGTCTGTCTCTGTGCCTCCCAGATAAGAAATGAAAAAATAAGCCATAAGCATATGCAGTTTTCACTTGTTCGGTATCTGAAACCATCTCAGGTGCCACCAGTGGTGACTGTCCATGTTAGGGGACCTGAGTCATCTCAGCTTTCTCCTATAAGTCACTCTGAAATCATTACAGTCCCCACTTCCAGATGTGATTTCTCAAAATTAGGTGATTCTCCGAAGAATGCATTGTTGGCAAAAGTTTGAGCTAAGCCTGAAACTCAGATCTCCTGGCTCCAATTCCAGCCAACCCTTTAGAATTCTGAAGTTAATTGGACTGGTTGCCAGCAACAGTTAAAAACATTGAATGGGATGCAATAAAGTGTGTAAAGGCACTTCAAAAAGTTCTTGGAAAATAGAATTTAAAGATCAGGTTATTTTGGTGCAAAATCTTTGAAATCCAGGCATGGTCTTTTCATAATGTGCATTTCCATGCAGGTTTTGAAAACGCTTGTAGTAGTACATCACAGATTATCGCACCTGGAGAGGCTAAGAACGGTTTTGCAAGAGTAATGGTGATGTAAAATGTCTGTCTATCTGTCTGTGTCGCTTCTGGTTAAATGTGCCTGGAAGCCACTGCTCTACCCAGCCGTGCTGCCTTGCTGGTGGGCAAGAACAGCAGTCCTGCAAAACCCCAGGGTGGCCCCTCGTATCACTGGCGGGGCTGACCCCCAGCCTGCTTTTCCCAAGGACATTTTACCGAAGCACAGCTGTGTCCATTCATTTACGTATTGCTGGTGGCTGCTCTTATGCTGCAGATAAGGATGCCAGATTTAGCGAATAAAACTACACGGTGTCTTGTATTTTATCTGACAGCCTCAGAACGACAGAATTGAGCAGTGGTGACAGAGATTGTATGGTCCCCAAGAGCAGATACAGTCATGATTTGATCCTCCGTGGAACATTCTGCCAGTCCCTGCTATGATGAATGGCACCGTGGAATTCTGCAGTGCCCAGCTGTGCTGCTGTCCACGGCAGCGTGGTGACTGGACAGTGGCTGCTTCTTGGTCTGCATTGCATTGCAGTGTTTGCTTCTTGCGTGAACAGACAGAACAGAGATGGCCCTCCCAGGAGCTGTCTTGCTAATGTCTCCCAGAACTGCCCTTCATCCTTGCTCCTGGCTGCCCTCATCACTACCGCTACTCTTCCCAAGCCTCTGTCCCCCCAGGACATATGAATGGAGGCCTTTGGACCCTTTATGTAATAAACTCTGAGTGACACCCTTAAACAGAGGAGTGGGGCTTGGGAATAATGTGAAAAACTGTGAAATTCTCCCAGTGCAGGGGGCCCAGCCCAGTTTTGGACAGTGAATCGTGGCTTTGGCCAAGATGTTCTCATTACAATCTCTGCTGACCTCCTTGGAGGAGTAAAAGCTGTTGCCTGCAAAAATGGACAGCTTCTCAGCCTTGTCCTCCTGCGTGGCCCCCCACTCACTCCCTGGTGGTCTCACTCTTCATATCCTTCCCATCTGTCTGTCTGTCTACATCTGCTTTGTCTCGGTTACTGGGGACAAGCGCCTGGTCTGAGGCCTGCCCTTGTAAAATAACTAGACTAGCAGAAGTGATAGCTCAATTCTTTATCGTTTTAATTCCCTTGTTGTTTCTTTCATTATTTTCTTTTTTTTTTAGTTGATATCATGCCTGGAAAGATGCTCTTGACTCCGGGGCCCCTTGTCAAGGTGAACACCAGCTGTTGGAATTATCTAGATAGAAGAAAGCCAGTAGTGTGGCCAACTGCCTGTTTGCTTTCTTGAGGTAAACTTGGGTTTGTAGAACAGTGGTGTTGGACAGAGTCTATATTTATCATCGTATCTAAGTCCTTCATTCAATACCTAAGACCTAGAGATGTGAAGAAAGACCGCTGCAAACAAGTAGCTGCAGGCACACTGTGAGAACATGGCTGTGAGTGTAGCCTTTCAATGTCTCCACCGGGCAAAGCTAATCAACTTGCTTTGTTTTCCATGTCTCGCTTTATCACTAGTGTTCTGATGGCATTAGCAGCAGCAGCAAGATAGGGTCTTCATAACTAACATTTATTCAGTACTTACTGTGTTACTGTGGACTAGCTACTCAGGTAAGCATTTTACATCTACTACAACAACTCGCTGAGGTGGGTGTCACCCTTATTTTATTATTAATTTTGACAGGCAGAGTTAGAGAGACAGAGAGAAAGGTCTTTCTACCGTTGGTTCACCCCCCAAATGGCCGCTACGGCCGGCGCTCTGTGCCAGTCTGAAGCCAGGAGCCAGGTGCTTCCTCCTGGTCTCTCATGTGGGTACAGGGCCCAAGCACTTGGGCCATCCTCCACTGCCTTCCCAGGTCACAGCAGAGAGCTGGACTGGAAGAGGAGCAACCGGGACTAGAATCCAGGGTGCCAGCACCGCAGGCAGAGGATTAGCCTAGTGAGCCACAGCGCCAGCCTCACTTATTTTATAAAGCTAGAAGCTAAATCCTTAAGAAGCTGAATCACACAGTAAGTAAGGTTACAACAGCCCTTGATCACAGATATGCTCGGCTTTAGGCATGTGTGTGTTTGTATGTGTTTACTGCTGGCTCTCCCATGCCTACAATATGTCTGGCATAGTAGAAACTTAGTAAGTGTTTGTGATGTCAACGAAGGACTGGCCCCAGAGTTGGTGCTCTTGGCCATATAGCTGACAATGGGTCTCCAACGTGGCTCATCGTTAGTGCCACTGCCAGTGCTGTTCACATTGCAAATACTATGGGTCTTTTTATGACGATTGTGAGGTGAGTCTGTGCTGATCCCAAGCCAGGAGCTTCCTCTGGTTCTTCCCATATGGGTGCAGGGGTCCAAGGACCTGGGCCATCTTCTATTGCTCTCACAGGCCATAGCAGAGAGCTGGATCGGAAGTGGAGCAGCCGGGACTCGAACCGGCGCCCACATGGGATGCTGGCACTGTGGGCAGTGGCTTTACCCACTATGCCACAGCACTGGCCCAATCAGGTCCTTCGGACAGACCTTTCACATCTCACATTTTTTTCTGAGATAGCAGAACATAACTTTGGATCTTGGGAGGCAACTGAATTTCCCATACTTAGCCCCAAAAGTCACATAGCTATTTCTTACTTTTTAAATTTAATTTATTTTTTTTATCTTTGACATGCAGAGTTCGAGAGAGAGAGAGAGAAAGGTCTTCCTTCCATTGGTTTACCCCCCAAGTGGCCGCTACGGCCGGCCAACCCAAAGCCAGGTGCTTCCTCCTGGTCTCCCATGGGGTGCAGGGCCCAAGCACCTGGGCCATCCTCCACTGCACTCCTGGGTCACAGCAGAGAGCTGGCCTGGAAGAGGGGCAACTGGGACAGAATCTGGCAACCGGGACTAGAACCCGGGGTGCCAGCGCCGCAGGCGGAGGACTAGCCTAGTGAGCTGCGGCGCCGGCCAACACATAGCTATTTCTTGTTCTCCATCCAATTCACCTTTTACTGGAGAGACCTGCCCCCCACCTTGGCTTACTCTAGAGGACAGAAGAGTCATGGGGGTAACTTCAGTGCCTTTCAATATGAGTGACTCAAAGAAGAAGGAGCACAGTGGTTGTAGCTATGCCTGGGCTAACTGTAAGCCTTATATCCTACATCTCGTTTGGTTAGGAGAGTTCCAGGCTTCTCCTAAAGTCCTGCTATAATTACTCAGTCTCAATCACAAACCTGAGTTTGGACAATACATAGTATGATAATACTGCCTAAGATTGGAAATAAAAGAACCTCAAAGAGATAAGTGTCTGTTCTGTACAAGGAAGAAATGTCCAAGAAACACACACAAGGGGCCAGCACCGTGGCTCACTTGGTTAATCCTCCGCCTTGCGGAGCCAGAATCCCATATGGATGCTGGGTTCTAGTCCTGGTTGCTCCTCTTCCAGTCCAGCTCTCTGCTGTGGCCCGGAAAGGCAGTGGAGGATGGCCCAAGTGTTTGGGCCCTGCACCCACATGGGAGACCAGGAGAAGCTCCTGGCTCCTGGCTTCGGACGGCACAGCGCCGGCCATAGCAGCCATTTGAGGGGTGAACCAACGGAAGGAAGACCTTTCTCTCTCACTGTCTATAACTACCTGTCAAATTAAAACACACACACACACACACACACTCACACGAAGATGTAATCAGCCTGCCAAGTCAGGGAGTGAGTGGACCATTACTGGAGGAATCAAAACAGAAAGTGTGTGGCTCTTGTTGGGGATGATGGAAAAGAGGCACTCAGTGAGTGACATTAGAGGTTCCTTCTGGGGTCGTGTCTAAAATTCACAGAGGATACCAGGCGCTGTGGTGCCTGAGCTGTGTGAGAAGCATGTGCCCCACCCACACTCACATGGGAAGAAGCTGGAGCCAGCAGAGCCTGCCTTTCTCTCTGGGGTGGCAGGCTATCCCATGCTCAACAAGCACAAGTTGTTTTCTCACTACAGAACTGGAGAAGGCTCAATGTATTTCGAACTTGGCTCTGAACGTTACACCCAGGGTCCAGTGGCCTCTGCTGAGCCAGCTCGGCCAGCCTTCAGGATGCAGGTACTGGGCTAGGCTTCCGTGCCTGGGGGCCAGAGCACCGACCTTCGTTTGTGAAAAGGCTCTGTGTCAGGGCCCCTCTGTGCTCCTCACGGCTTTCACGCCCAGGTCACCAGCATATATCTATTTGACCTCTGGAGGAGTTTGATCCCTGGTAACATGGTGCATCTGAGAGCCGTGCAAGTGTTAGGGAGTTCACCAGCATTCTTCAGGGAAGCATCACTTCCCACCCCGCCCGACTTATTCCCTTACATAGTTAGAGACCAAGGCGCTGGTCTCTGTGAATTTCCCCAAGATCACACAGTGCACTGACTGCAGATGCAGGGATCCAAACTCAAGATATCCCAGAGGAAGGGAGGACTGTGGGGTCACACCCATGGTTTCCAAGGGAATGGGCAGGGACAGAGGCAAATTCTCCTCCTCCTCCTCCTCCTCTTCCTTCTTCTCTTTAATGGGGATGGAATTGAAGTTTCTGGTCTCTTGGCTCCACCAACTTAAAAAGAATGTGAAGGGTCAATGCCATGGGTTAAGGTGCCGCTTGTGATGCTGTTGGCCCACATCACAGTCCTGGTTCAAGTCCCAGCTGCTCCAGTTCTGATCCAGCTCCCTGCTAATGTGTCTGGGAAAGCAGTAGAAGATGGCCCAAGTGCTTGGACTTGGTTCCAAGGCTCCTGGCTTTGGCCTGGCCCAGCCCTGACTGTTGTGGCCATTTGAGGAGGGAACCAGTGGATGGAAGACCTCTCTCTCTCCTCTCTCTTTCTATCAGTCTGCCTTTCAAATAAATAAATAAATCTTTTTCAATGTCAGAGTTCAGCTTTGGTTTCTGGTCAGAATCAAAATGATGATGTGATCATGTTTGTTAATTACATATGCTATCTGGAAATTCCATTGCTGCTCTTACCAGATCGTATGTCAGTCAGCACTGAACAAAGTTGTAGAATCAGGTATTCTTCTACTGTAGTAATGTCTTTTGCCATGTCCTCAACAGATGGCGGAATTATAATATTTTCTTATACTATATGATAGTTTGTATTTTTAATATTTTGTTACATTCTAATCCTAAAATATTGTGATTATTATAGAAAGTACAAAACATGATAAAAAAAAAAGCAACAAAAAGATAATATAATCCCTGAATCAATTCAGAGTTAACTATTTTTTTTTTTTTTTGGTCAGGCAGAGTGGACAGTGAGAGAGAGAGACAGAGAGAAAGGTCTTCCTTTGCCGTTGGTTCACCCTCCAATGGCCGCTGTGGCCGGCGCACCGTGCTGATCTGATGGCAGGAGCCAGGTACTTATCCTGGTCTCCCATGGGGTGCAGGGCCCAAGCACTTGGGCCATCCTCCACTGCACTCCTGGGCCACAGCAGAGAGCTGGCCTGGAAGAGGGGCAACCGGGACAGAATCTGGCGCCCCGACTGGGACTAGAACCCGGTGTGCCGTCGCCGCAAGGTGGAGGATTAGCCCAGTGAGCTGCGACGCCGGCCCCAGAGTTAACTATTTCACACTTAGTCTTTTTAAGACATTTTAAAAATATGAGTTGTATTTTAAATAATACTAATAATACAAATGTTAAGCTATATGACTGGTCTTTCCAAAACAATGCAAGGGACTGCAGATGGTTTTTTGTTTTGTTTTGTTTTGTTTTTGACAGGCAGAGTGGACACAGAGAGGAAGGTCTTCCTTTTGCTGTTGGTTCATGCTCCAATGGCTGCCGAGGCCGACACACCATGCTGATCCGAAGGCAGGAGCCAGGTGTTTCCTCTTGGTCTCCCATGGGGTGCAGGCCCAAGCACTTGGGCCATCCTCCACTGCACTCCCGGGCCACAGCAGAGAGCTGGCCTGGAAGAGGAGCAACTGGGACAGAATGTGGCACCCTGACCGGGACTAGAACGCAGGGTGCTGGTGCTGCCGGCCCTGCAGATGTTTTAACCTGTTTGTTATAACATACTTGCCTGCTGGCTAAGTTTAATGAACAGAGTACAACTGGCAGACCAGGCGGGCACCTCAGGGAAGAACTGAGAGCCGGGTCTGTATTCAGCATGGAGTTTTTGTGGATCTGGGTATGGGCCCACTGTTTTTGAGTTCTGTATGAGTACAAGTATGAGGCTGTTAGAGACCATGAGGACTCTGCACGTGACTTTCCTCGTAGCTGCCCCAAACTTAGATCTCCAGCATCTTCTCTCAGTGCTCAACTGCCTAACGAGACAGTGAGACAGACATCAAATGATCACCCAGATTGGGAGGAAGGGTTTGCAACTCAAGAAATTGACTATATATGTGGAGAGCGTCAGAAACCTAAATTAAAAATTAAAAAGGGAAAAAAACACGAAACAGAAGTGAGAATTCAAAAATTGATAATCGGGGCAGGTATATGGTGCACCACTTAGGAGGGGCCAAGATGGCGGTATAGCAACAGGACATTCCGAGTCACGCAGGACAAAATAGATAGTTAATAAGGAGAGGGGGATACAAGCCAATGACAGAGCCGTGAGAAATTCGCACGGAGAAGCCCAGGAGTCCAATAGAGATTGGGCAGGTACACGCTGAGGGAGCAAAAAAGAAAGGACAGTGGCAGAGGCACAGTAGAGAAGCCAAACGGGAGACTGATGCCCCCCACTTCCCCCGTCCACAAGCAGACCAGGTGAGACCAGAAATCGCGAGTCCATGGAACTGCGGATAACAGCAGGCAAGGGAGCCTGGCGAACTGCGTTTGAAGTTCCAAGTGAGAAGAAAGAGAAGGTATATGAGAACAAAGCGAGAGGTTGGGCACACCCCTGTCCATCTATGTCTTCCCCCTCCCGCAACCAGACCTGCAGCTGGCTGGGAGAAGCCCTATTAATTGTTACGTCTTTGAATGTAAGCAGGGGGCTGCCACATTTGCCTTCTGTGCACACACACCCCAACATGGGAACAAGGATCACAGCATTTTAGAGTAATTTCCTCCCCACCACGCTAGCTGTACAACAAGAAGTCCTAAATATTGAAAACTCGAGCCCATGCCACACACCAATGAGAAGCGAGCCTGGCCCCCCAGTAGGCGGGGCTTAGTGTACCAAAGTTCTGGTACCTGCCTCCATCACAATCCAGAAGTGAGCAGGACTCCCAGAGGTGGAGCTGTGTGCTTCCACTTGCCGCGCACAGACACATAGCAGCTCACAGCAGAGGGAAATCTCACCATAAGTTCAAAGGCACACATTAAAGAGAAAAGCAAACAGAAATGCTAATAACCAAAGCAAAAACCCTAAATAAGAATAAGGAAGACATCATGAGCCTCCCAAAGGAACACTACACCTCTTCAATAATAGAAGCTGAAGAAGGATAGAAGATATACCAGAAACGGAACTCATAAAATTGTCAGATTACTTATAAGCAATCAGAAACAAATTCATGATCTAAATGAAAATGAAATATTAAAGAAGTCAGAATGAAATATTAGAAATGAAGAATTAAATAGATCACATAAAAAAAGCAGTGGAAAGCCTTAACAACAGAAAAGGTGAGACAGAAGAAAGAACATCAGAACTGGAAGACAAATTTCTGGAAATAATAGACCAAATAAGAGAATAAGAAATTAGAATATTAAAAAATATGGTTGGAGAGCTACAAGATTCTATCAAATGACCCAACATACAGATACTAGGAATTCTGGAAGGCATGGGAAGACAGAAGAGAATTTCCCCAATCTGGAGAAAGAAAGAGACATCCAAGTACAGGAACTACACAATTCCCAATAGACACGACCAGAAAAGACCTTCACCAAGACACACTGCAGAAAAACTCTCCTTCTCCTCAGTAAAACATAAATAAAAGATCTTAAAATGTGCATGGGAGAAATGACAAATCACATTGAGAGGAAACCCAATTCGACTCACTCTAGACTTCTCATCAAAAATCCTACAGGCAAGGAGAGAATGGCGAGACATATTCCAAGTCCTAAGAGAAAAAAACTGACAACCCAGAATATTGTACCCTGTAAAACTCGTTTATGAATGAAGGAGAAATAAGGATCCTCCACAGAAATTGAAAGAATTTGTAACTACTCACCCAGCCCTACAACAGATGCTCAAGGATGTGCTACACACAGAAACAGGAACATCACTACAAATGTAGATGAATGCAAAAATGACCCAGCAAAAGTGCAAATGAAATCCAAAATACATAAACAGGACTATCTATCGAAACATGGCAGGGAAAAGTTGGTACTTAACAATAGTCACACTGAATGTAAATGGTATCAACTCCATAGTTAAACACAGACTGGATAAATGGATTTAAAAAGAAAACCCATCTATTTTCTGCCTACAAGAAACACATCTTACCAACAAAGATGCACGCAGACTGAAAGTGAAAGGATGGAGAAAGATCCCATTCTAACAAACCACAGAAGAGCTGGTATAGCCATCCTACTATCAGACAAATTAGACTTTAACACAAAAACTATTAAAAGAGATGAGGAAGGACACTACATAATGATTAAAAGATCAATTCAACAGAAGATGTGACTATTATAAATGAATATGCAACTAATCACAGGGCACCTGGCTATTTAAAAGAAATGTTAAAGGGTTTAAAGGGAGATATAGACTCAAATACAATAGTAACTTGGGACTTCAATACCCCACTTGCAGCAATGGACAGATCAATCAATAAGGAAACAACAGAGCTAATTGACACTATAGACCAAATAGACCTAGCAGCTATCTACAGAGCCTTCCACCCTACAGCCACAGAGTACACATTTTTTTCTATGGTACATGAAACTTTCTCTTGGATTGGCCACATGCTAGGCCATAAAGCAAGTATCAGCAAATTCAAAAAAATCAAAATCATACCCTGCATCTTCTTGGACCACAATGCAATGAAGCTGGGAATCAACAACTCAAGAATCTCTACATCATATGTAAACACATGGAGAATGAACAACATGTTCCTGAATTAAGAGTGGGTCATAGAAAAAAAATCAAAAGAGAAATGAAAAAATTTCTGGAAACAAATGAAGGTGATAATACAACATACCAAAATTTGTGTGGGATACAGCAAAAGCAGTGTTAAGAGGAAAGTTTATAGCAATTGGTGCCTACTTCAAGAAATTGGAAAGGCACCAAATAAATTAACTATCTATACACCTCAAGGATCTAGAAAAACAATAGCAAACCAAATCCAAAACTAGTAGGAGAAAAAATTAAAATTAGAGAAGAAATCCACAAAATGGAAACAAATACAAAAGATCAGCAAAATGGGGGGGGGGAGCCATTGTAATCCATAAGCTGTACTTTGGAAATTTATATTCATTAAATAAAAGTTAAAAGATCAGCAAAATAAAGAACTGTTTTTTGAAAAAATAAGCTCAATTGACACACCATTGGCCCAACTAGCCAGAAAGAGAGAGAGAAGACCCAAATCAATAAATTAGAGATGAAAAAAGAAATGTAAAAACAGACACCACAGAAATAAAAAGGATCATCAGAAATTACTACAAAGAGCTGTATGCCAACAAACTGGGAAATCTAGAAGAAATGGATAGATTCCTGAACACATATAACCTACCTAAACTAAAGCATGAAGACATAGAAAACTTAGACCAATAACCAAGACAGAGATTGAATCAGTAATAAAGACCCTCCCAACAAAGAAAAGCCCAGGACTGGATGGCTTCCCTGCTGAATTCTACCAGACGTATAAAAAAGAACTAACTCCAATTCTTCCCAAGTTATTCAGAACAATTAAAATGGAGGGACTCCTCCCAAATTCTTTCTATGAAGCCAGCATCGTAATAATTCCTAAACTTGGAAAAGACGCAACAGAGAAAAACTACTACAAACGAATTTCCCTGATGAACATAGATGCAAAAATCCTCAACAAAATTCTGGTTAATCGAATCCAACAACACAAGAGATCATTCACCTGGACAAAGTCAGATTTATCCCTGATATGCAAGGGATGGTTCAACATTTGCAAATCAATCAGTATAATATACCACATTAACAAATTGAAGAACAAAAACCATATTATTATGTCAATAAATGCAGAGAAAGCATTCAACAAAATATAACACTCTTTCATCATGAAAACTCTAAGCAAATTGGGTTTATAAGGAACATTCTTCAACACAATCAAGGCAATTTGTGACAAACCCACAGCCAGCATCCTATTGAATAGGGAAAAGTTGGAAGTATTCCCATTGAGATCCAGAACTAGACAAGGAGGCCCACTCTCACCATTGCTATTAAATATAGTCCTGGAAATTTTAGCCAGAGCCATCAGATAAGAAAAAGAAATCAACAGTATTCAAATCACTAAAGATCCCTATTTGCAGATGATACGATTCTTAATATAGGGAACCCAAAAGACTCCATGGCTGAGAAAAAACTTCTAAGATCAATCACATTCACAGTAACTACAAAAAAATCAAATACCTTGGAATAAATTTAACCAAGGATGTCAAGTATCTCTACAATGAGAATTACAAAACATTAAAGAAAGAAATAGAAGAAGACACAAAAAATGAAAAAAATTTCCATGTTCATGGATTGGAAGAATCAATATAATCAAAATGTCAATTCTTCAAAGTAATTTACAGATTCAATTCAATACCAATCAAAATACCAAGGACATTCTTCTCAGATCTAGAAAAAATGCTGAATTCATTTGGAAACACAGCAGAGAGACCTCGAATAGCTAAAGCAATCTTATACAACAACAAAAAAAAGTTGGAGGCATCATAAGACCAGATTTCAACACATACTACAAGGCAGTTATAATCATAACAGCCTGGTACTGATACAAAAACAGATGGAGAAACCAATGGAACAGAATAGAAATGCCAGAAATCGATCTAAGCATCTACAACCAACTCATATTTGACCAAGGAGCTAAAAGCATTCATTGGAGAAAGGACAGACTCTTCAACAAATGGTGTTGGGAAAACTGGATTGCCACATGCAGGAGTATGAAGCAAGACCACTACCTTATAAAAAAATCCATTCACAATGGATTATAGACCTAATTCTATGACCTGATACCATCAAATTACTAGAGAGCACTGGGAAAACTCTCTAAAAGATTGGCACATGCAAAGAGTTCCTGAAAAAGACCCCAGAGGCACAGGAAATAAAAGCCCAAAATTAACAAATGGCATTACATCAAATTGAGAAGCTTCTGTACTGCAAAAGAAACAGAAAAGAGGCAACCAACAGATTGGGAGAAATTATTTGTAAACCATGAAACTACTAAAGGCTTAATAACCAGAATATATAAAGTGATCAAAAAACTCAACAACAACAAAACAAACAGCCCAGTCAAGAAATGGGCAAAGGACTTAAAAGAGGAAATCCAAATGGCCAACAGATACATGCAAAAATGCTCAGGATCACTAGCCATCAGGGAAATGCAGATCAAAACCACACTGAGGTTTTACCTAACCCCAATTAGAATGGCTTTCATACTGAAGTCAACAAACAACAAACGCTGGTGAGGATGTGGGAAAAAAGCACCCTAATCCACTGTTGGTGGGGATGCAAACTAGTAAAGCTACTATGGAAGACAGTTTGGAGATACCTCAGTAATCTGAATATAGTCCTATCATACATACGACCCAGCCATCCCACTACTTGGAATTTACCCAAGGGAAATTAAATCAGCAAATAAAAGTTTCCTGCACCCCCATGTTTTTTGCAACTCAATTCACGATAGCTAAGACATGCAATCAACCTAAATGCATGCCAACAGAAGACTGGATAAAGAAATTATGGGATATGTACTCTATGGAATGTTACACAGCAGTCAAAAAAAAAAGTCTGCTCATTTCCAACAAAATGGAAGAATTTGGAAAACATCATACTTAGTGAAATAAGCCAATCCCAAAGGGACAAATACCATATGTTTTCCCTGATCTGTGATAACCAACAGAGCTTCTACAAGGAAACATGTAGAAGTGAAATTGACACTATGAGGAGCAATGACTTGAACAGCCCTTGTCTTAACTGTCGAGGAACAGTGTATTATTTTATTTTTTTACTATTTTTTTCTACTTAATATCATTGGTTGAACTCTCTACTTAATAGAATTAATCATAGATGTATAATATCAATTGAAAATAGACCCCAGTAAAAAATAAGAGTGGGAATAAGAGAAGGAGGAGCTGTACAGTTCAGCACACATCCCACAGACTTACCCCTAAGGGTAAAGCTAAAAACTTGCCATGGGACTCCAAATCCCATTCAGCAGGTTGGTAATAATGCCATCTTACATGTTAAAGTGATCATATTAAGTGTTTGATTGATCATATAGATAGGATTGTCAAAGGTATCACATAAATAAGACCAGCTATCTGGTAATAACGATAGAATTAAAAAGGAGAGAATGTTCCAACATGGGAAGCAGTCTATACAGCAGACTCATAGAATGACAATTGCTCTAAATAGCACTCTGACCTCAGAATCACCCCTTAAGGCATTCTAGTCTGGCTGAAAAGCCCATGAGAGCATTTCAGGCATGGAAAGCCAAGACACCGTGTCAAAAAATGATCTACATCTAGGATCTCTGTGAGCGAGACCCCAGTGTAAAGAAGGGGCCATCAAAGAATGATGCACTTTTCTCTGAAGGGAGGAGAGAACTTCCACTTTGCTTATGGCCCTGGCTAATACTGACGGAGTTTGTGGACTCAAAAGGTTTTCATAGCCTTGGTATCTGATGTCAAGAGCCTCGGGTGATCACTGACATCACAAAAAATAGTGTTAATTGTTAAATCAACAACAGGAGTCACTATGCATTTACTCCCCATGTAGGACATCTGTACTTAATGTGTTGTACTATGAGAATTAACTGTAAAACTTGTTCTCAAACAGTACTTTATACTTTGTGTGTGCAGATTGTTGAAATCTTTACTTGGTATAGAGTTGGTCTTCTGTATATACATTTGATTAAAAACCAGTATTAATGAAGAATGGGATGGGAGAGGGAGTAGGAGATGGAATGGGAGTGGGCATGGAGGGCAGGTATTAGGGGAAGACCACTATATTCCTAAAGTTATTTTTATGAAATTTATATTCATTAAATAAAAGCTTACTTTAAAAATATGCACCTCTTAGGAGTCCTACATCCCATACTGAAGTGTCTGGATTCAAGACTCTGCTCCACTTCTGATTACAGCTTCCTGCTAATGTGCACCCTGGGAGGCAGCAGATGTCAGCTCAAGTACTTGAGTCCCTAATACTACTTGGAGGAGAGACCTAGATTCAGTTCCCAGCTCCTGGGTTCAGCCGGACCCAGCCTCATCTGTTATGGGCATTTAGGAGTCAACCAACAGATAGGAGACTGATCTCCCTCCCTCCCTCCCTTCCTCACTCCCTCCCTCCCTTCTTTCCTCCTTCCCTCCTTCTCTCCTTCTCTCTCCTATTCAAAAATAAAGTCACTAACACTTTAAAAAATTGAATAATAATACAAAGAGGTGCTCAGGGTTACTACACATGAAATAATGCAAATCAAACAACAATATCTATTTTATAGGAATCAGATGAGCAAGAGAATTGACTATATGGGACTAAGTGTATGTGGGGGGCTGCAAGGAGCTAGATGAATTGAGAAATATGATTGACAGAATGAATAACTTTAAAGGTAGAAGGGATCAAGAACTGAGTGAAGAGGAAAACGAGGAGGAGGAAGAGAAGGAGGAGGAGAAAGACACAGGAGAAGGAGGAGGAGAGAGGAAGAGACTAGTTCTGATCTGGGCAACACAGCTGAAATGCAAAGAGCTAAGGGAATTATGGTGCAATACATGTACCAATTACACAGTACAAATCTGGAGGCATGCATAGGGGTTTGCACAGATGACACAGGCCTTGAAGGCCATGCTGAGGAATTTGGGTTTTATTCTAAGTGCAAAGGCTAGGTATTGGAACACTTTCACCTTGATCTCACCTGGAGAGTCTAGTGGGATGCTGTTATAGTCCTTCAGGTGAGAGGTCCTGGAATCTTGGAATACAATACTTGTAAGAAATGTAGAAATAAATGAACAGACTCAAGAGACAGTTGACCTAAAGGAGGATATAGACTCTAATACCATAGTAACAAGAGACTTCAAAACCCCACTCTTACCAATGGACAGATCAACCAGACGGAAAATCAATCAGGAAACAACAGAGCTAATCGACACTATAGACCAAATGGATTTAACATATCTACAGAACCTTTCGTCTTACAGAGGCAGAATACACATTCTTCTCATAAGTACATGAAACATTCTCTAGGATACACCATATGCTAGGCCAAGTCTCAGCAAATTTAAAAAAATCGAAATCATTCCATCACCTTCTTGGACCACAATGGAATGAAACTAGAAATCAACAACTCAACAACATGCTCCTGAATGAACAGTAGATCATAGAAGATATCAAAAGAGAAACAAAAAGATTTCTGGGAACAAATGAAGATGACAATACATCATATCAAAACCTGTGGGATACAGTAAAAGCAGTATTAAGAGGGAAGTTCATAGCAATCGGTGCCTACATGAAAAAACTGGAAAGGTACCAAATAAATGAGCTACGACGCATCTCAAGGATCTAGAACATCAACAAACCAAACTCAAACTAGTAGGAAGAAATAAATAATTAAAGAAACAAAATTGAAATAAAAATATAGAAAATCAGTGAAATGAAAAGCTGTTTTTTTGAAAAAATAACAAAATTGACATGCCACTGGCACAGCTAACCAAAAAAGAGGAAAAGACCCAAATCAATAAAATCAGAGATGAAAAAGAAAATGTAACAGCACATTTCCACATAAATAAAAATCATCAGAAATTACTACAAAGAGCTGTATACCAACAAACTAGAAAACCTAGAAGAAAGGGATAGATTCCTACAAAGACACAATCTACCAAAATTATGAAGATACAGAAAACCTAAACAGACCAATAACCAAGATGGAGATTGAATCAGTAATAACCAGGACCAGACAGCTTCACTGCTGAATTCTATCAGTCATTTAAAGAAATAATGCCAATTCTTCTCAATCTATTCAAAACAACTGAAAAGGAGGGAATCCTCCCAAACTCCTGTTACAAAGACTGCATCACCTTAATACCCAAAGCTGGAAAAGATCCAACAAAGATAACTATAGACCAATATCTCTGATGAACAGATATGCAAAAATCCTCAACAAAATATTAGGCAATCAAATCTAAAAAACATATCAGAAAAATAATCGACCCTGACCATGCATGATTTATTTCCAGAATGCAGGGATGGTTCAACACTTGCAAATCAATCTATGTGATATACCACATTAACAAACTGAAGAACAAAAGCCATATAATTATCTCAATAGATGCAAAGAAGGCATTTGATAAAACAGCATCCTTTCATGATGAAAAACTCTAAGCAAATTGGGTTTAGAAGGAACATTCCTCAACATTATCAAGGCAATTTATGACAAACCCATGGCCAGCGTCCTATTGAATGGGGAAAAGTTGGACGTATTCCCATTGAGATCTGGAACCTGAGAAGGATGCCACTCTCATCATTGCTATTCAATATAGTCCTGGATGTTCTAGTCAGTCATTAGGCAAGAAAATAAATCCAATGGATACAAATTGGGAAGGAGGAAGTAAAATTATCCATATTTGCAGAAGACATGATTCTATACATAGGGGATCCAAAAGACTCTACTAAGAGGCTACTAGAACTCATAGATGAGTTTGGTAAAGTAGTAGGATATAAATCCTACAAAAATCAATAGCCTTTTTATACACAAACAATGCCACAGCTGAGAAAAAAACTTCTAAGATCAATCCTATTCACAATAGCTACAAAAAATCAAATACATTGGAATAAATTAAATCAAGGATGTCAAGGATCTCTATGATGAGAATTACAAAACATTAAAGAAAAAGTAGAATAAAATACAAAAAATTTAAAAATCTTCCATGTTCATGGATTGGAAGAATCAATATAATCTAAATGTCCATACTTCTGAAAGCAATTTACAGGTTCAATGTGATATCATTCAAAATACCAAGGACATTCTTCTCAGATGTAGAAAAAAATGATGCTGAAATTCATATGGAAACACAGGAGATCCCAAAAAGCTAAGCAATCTTATAACAACAAAACAAAGCTGAAGGCATCACAATACCAGATTTGAAGACATACTACAGGGCAGTCATAATCAAAACAGCATGGTCCTGGTACAAAAACAGATGAATAGATCAATGGAACAGAATAGAAATGCCAGAAATCAATCCAAGCACCTCCAACCCTCTTTGACAAAAAAGGAAAAATAAATCCATGAAGCAAAGATGGTCTTTTCCACAATGGTGCTGGGAAAACTGGATTGCCACATGCAGAAGTATGAAGCAAGACCCTACTTTACACCTTACACAAAAATCCTCTCCAAATGGATTAAAGACCTAAATTTATGGCCAGATAACACTGAGGGAACCCTGTAAGACATTGGCACAGGCAGTCAAAGCTAAAATTGACAAATGGGATTACATCAAGCCGAGAAACTTCTGCACTGCAAAAGGAACACTCAACAAAGTGAAGAGGCAGCTGATAGACTGGGAGAAAATATCTGCAAACTATGCACCTGATAAAGAGTTAATATCCAGAACATATAAAGAACTCAAGAAATCCAACAACAACAAAGTAAACAATCCAGTTAAGAAATGGGCAAAGGACTTGAACAGGTATTTTTCAAGAGAGGAAATTCAAATGATCAACAGACACTTGAGAAAATGTTCAGGATCATTAGTCATCAGAGAATTGCAAATCAACACCACAATGAAGTTTCACCTTACCCACGTTAGAGTGGCTCTCATACAGAAATCAACAACTATTGCTGGCAAGGAAGTAGGGAAAAAGTCACCCTAATCCATTGTTGGTGGGAATGTAAACTGGTCTAGCCACCATGGAAGACAGTGTGGAGACACCTCAGAAATCTTAATATTGACCTCCCATATGACCCAGCCATCCCGTTCCTGGGAATTTACCCAAATCAAAAGAAATCAGAATCTGAAAGAGTTATAAGCACCTCCATGTTCACTGCAACTCAATTCACAAAAGATAAGATATGCAATCAACCCAGATGTCCATCAACTGAAGACTGGATAAATAAATTTATGGCATATATACACTACAGAATATTACTCAGCTATAAAGAAAAGAAATCTTGTCATTTGCAACAAAATGGAGCAACTGGCTAATTATATATTCTAATTATAATTAGAAAGAAGCTAGTCCCCAAAAGGCAGATATTGTATGTTTTCCCTGATCAGGGGTAGCTATAGAGTACCTAAAATGTAACGTATTGGAAGCAAATGTGTTGGAAGGAATTTTGAGATTTGATAATCTGTTTACAGCCCTTGTCTCTTCTGCTGAGGACCATGGTTTTTTTTTTTTTTTCATACTATTTGTTGAACTCTTTTACTTAGTGTAGTGTTAACCTTACTATCATTAAGTAAACTGAAAGTAGATCTCTGTAAAGATTAAGAGTGGGAATGGGAAAGGAAGGAGGAAGAAGGGTTGAAAAATGGGTGGGACAGAGGGTAGGGTAAGAACTATCACTATGTTCCTAAATCTGTATATATGAAACACATGAAACTTGTAAAACTTAAATAAAATTTAGAAAAAAACAAAAAACAAAAAAGTGGTGTAAAACATAATCTATCTCCCAGGATCTCTTTAAGGATTAAAGGAAGTCATAATATAAAGTGTTTTAGCAAGGAGTTTGGCACACAGTAAGTGCTCAACCACTGTTAGCTCTTATTAGTATTATAAATCTAACTCTCCTTTTGAAAACACTGTCTTTGGGTGAAAGAATTAGAAAACTCAAGGTTGGCACTATAGTGTAACAGGTTAAGCCACCGCCTGCAATGCCGGAATCCTGTACGGGTGCTGATTTGGGTCCTGGCTACTCCACTCCTGATACAGCCCCCTACTGATGCACATGGGAAATCAGCGGAAGACAGCCAAAGTTCTCGGGCACCTGCTCCCATGTGTAACACCTAGAGGAAGCTCCTGGCTCCTGGCTTTGGCCTGGCCTGGCCCTGGCCATTGTGGCCATTTGTGGAGTGAACCATAAATGGATGATCTATTTCTTTATTTCTCCCTCTTTCTCTGTAACTCTGCCTTGCAAATAAATAAAATAAATCTTAGAAAAGAATTATAAAACTCCACCCAGAAAGATGTGAGTAGGCTCCACTGTCTTGGCAGCATTTATTTCTCTATCTTTCTGTTCCTGATATAGAGCAGGTTCCTTGAAGGCAGGGTCCATCCTGTGTTCATCTTTAAGTCTCAGCCTCTAACACAGACATTGGTAGTTAGCAAATATGCATCAGGCCCCTAAATAAACACAAAATCGAAAGGGAATCGCTTCCTTCTTGCTTAATGGAAAAATGTATTCCCATAGCAGTGGGAATGGGATCCCTGCTAGAGGCTGGAAGTCAATTCGTCTCTCTAAATTCCAAGCCCAAGGCCCAGGATTTCCACCCAACAGATGCTTTTTGCATTGTGAGGCAGCCAGGCATGTGGGCTGCTTCAGTCCACGTGTCTGCTCCATCCTTCATCGTTCCATTTCCTGGGAAGAAGAGCCTGTGGGGCTCTCCGCTAGCCGCACATGTTTTCCGTTTCATGTTTCAGCCAGTAAATGAGAGGGCTCCCTCACAGGCCACTTAACATGTATCACAGACGCTTCTTTGGACAAGTGGACTCTTCTGCTTCCTCTGGGACCCCAAGGCCTGAATGATGTGCAGACCTGATAGGGCTGGAGAGCTGCACTTAGAACAGCCCCGGGCTAAAGACAGGCTGTCTTCTACTTAACCTCGAGGCTTGAAGGTAAGTGGCCCGACCTCACGTGCATCAGAGCGCAGGTGGATCTGCCTCGGGGCAGTGAACGCAGCACAGCTGGAGGAACTAACATCTGGGTGGCCACACCCCTGGAACGATGCTGCCGTCAGCTGGGAGGGGAGCATGGGGTCATTTATTTCCTCCCTAGTCCTTTCATTTGACTTTTGCAATTTTAGCTCTTTCTGAAAGGGAACAAGAGGCAATTTTAGCAGAGATGGAAAAGAGAACTGTGTCTGGGTCCTGTTCCTCTTCCAGGCTCATCATCCCCAGTCAACGCAAGATGAAATGAAAACTGAGGCTTGGCTGCCCGCAGCAGCAAGCAGAAATCTAAGACTATAATCCATAAAACACAACCTCTTACGGAAATAAAAACCTCTGCAAAGTCACAGAGCTCAGACAGAGCACTTGGTTCTTCTGCAAAGCACCCGCCTTTCCCTACCTCCTAGCCCCTCCCCCGGCCAGATCAAGCCCCCGAGAGAACCAACTGCGTTCTTGTTGCTGTCCCTCTAGATGGAAAAGGAAGGGGGCAGTAAAACACGGGCCGCGAAGCTGATGGTCTAGGAAGGGAAAACACAGCGAAGGGCCATTCGAAGGGAAAACGCTGTATGCAGAATAATGCAGGAGGGAAAACACTACGCAAACGCCAGGGCACCACGCTCTCCTAGCAAAGTGTCTGATCCCAGGAGATGTTTGTCTCCAGATCTCACACCGGGCCACGTCTGCGCACGAACATTCTTTACTTTGTTAGGACACAGAGTCTGCAAAGAGAAGTTGGGTGTAAGGCTGATGTGCTTGTTTTCTAAAAATCTTTTTTTCTCCGACAGATGAACCTCAAACACTTTGCTCGACACAGCAAAAGGTTAACATGTTATTGGATTGTTTGTAGCATCCAATAACCTTTCAACCCCCTGATGTTTCTACAAACGAATTGGGACTATCCCAGAGGAGCGTGTCTGTGTAGCAGAATTTCGAATTTTCCATCTTTCCATAGTTTTGGAACCAACTGGCAGAGATGTTACAGCAACAGGAAGGCAAGGTCACATGGGCGTTCCCATCTCCTTGGATAATGTGTGCTTGGTTTTGGGTGCTTTACAGAACTTGGGGTGGGTTTGGGCTCGGAAATGGTGTTGAAAAATGACTGGATGGTTATTGAACATACCGATTGAGCAGAGGACGTGTTAGGTTTGCTGATACAGCAAAAGTAAATCAGGTCAGTACCTGAAAACTAATAGGGACGGAATTACTATTAACTACTACCTTTTTGGTACACTTACAGAGTGAACACCCCTCATCTGAGAATCCTAAATCAGAAATGCCCCCAAATCCAGGCCTTTATGAGCAGGGACCATGACACCACCGTGGAAAGTTCCACACCTGACCTCACGTGACAGACTGCAGTCAGAATCCCGGCACCGTAAAAACACTGTAGAACATACCCCCCCAGGCTGTGTATAAGGTACAGGTGAAACATAAATGAATATCATGTTTAGATGTGGGTCTCCTCCCCAAGACACTTCCTTATGTACACGCCAACATTCTAAATCCCAAACCCCAAATCTGAAACACTGCTGGTCCTGACTGCTTCTGACAAGGGTTTACGCAACCCATATTACTCGATTGACTGAAAATATTCTGGGCCCTCGGCATTCTCATTTGATAGCTGGTGTTTAGTCTCTTGGTTGTCTAATAGGTCAGCCACCCGCCTGGTTTTCCAGATTGGCAATAACAATACTGACTGCCGTATCTGTGATGATTATGATGAGCAGGCAGAGATCATGAAGAATACAGGATGAATTAGGCATGATCATTTATAAAAGAAAATATGAAAAAAAATTCATCCTCACCAGCGTCAAAGGAGTACAAAAGAAAACACAAAATGCCTTTCATTTACCAGCATTTCAACATTTCAAAATGTGATTTTTGAATATTCTCAGCCCATAGTTGTAGCAGCATAATCTGGCACAGTTGATTTTTGGAAAATAAAATGGCAATTTTATTATTTATTTATTATGTATTAATTAAGAACCTCGAACATGTTTTTATCTCTTGACCCACGTTTGAGGATTTATCTGGAACCTCTAGAGACAAACTGAGTGTGGTCAAAGATTTAGGTAGGAAGTGGTGTCTGCAGGGTCCTGAGTAATTTGAGGACAGTTTTACCAAAGCAAAACAAAACAAAGAACATGGAGAAAATGCAGGGTGCGGGGGCCAGCAAAGGGAGGGCCCAACCCCAACTCAAGGCCTGGGAGGGCAGGGAGGGAGTGTTTCCCAGAACTTGGGGAGTGAAGTTCCTTGGAGGGGGTCTCCTGGCTCCCTGGGAAGACATGCCCCATCCCACCTCCCCCCTGCTTGTGGTCCCCTCCCCACACCTCCCTTTCACTGAGTCCAGCCAAAGCCAGAGGCAGGGAGCCCTCAAAGCCCACGTGGGCCTGCGGCGGACAGTGGCTCTGAAGAGACAAACGAACAGCATCCAGTATGCTTTGTTAGTTTTAAGAGCAAAAATAAAAATGGAGGATAATACAGATGTCCACTGGTTGGGAATGCAGCCAGTACACTTTGGTACAAATCATGTATTTGAAGAAACGATAACACAGGGCCATGTTTTCAGCATATTGTCAACCAAAGACAAGTAGTAGAGAAAATTATAGATGGCTCCAATTGTGAAAGCGATAGGCACATATGACCACCAGAAAAAAGGCTGGAGGAAACACACCCAAACTCAGCCACGGCGCTTTCCAAGGGTGGGCAGGGGTTATGGCCTTCTTTCTTCTTTTTTAAAATTACCTGTATTTTCTAAATTTTTCATGAGGAATACAGTTTTTGCAGTAGGAAACCACTTGTTTTAAACTGGCCTTTTGCCTTAGTCTATAGCCTAGCAGGTGAAAAAGATTGGTTTCTAACTGATCATGGAAATGTGCAATGGAAAAACAAAAGAACAATTTGGTGATTTCAACTGACAGGCATAATCAGGATGACTTTCTGGAGGAGGCGGCATTGTAAACTGGCCCTTGAGAGGTGGAAAAGTCTTTCTGGAGGTTGAGAAATGGCAGAGGGGAAGCCAAGTGAGGGAAAAATGAAAAATCAAAGACTTAGGAGACACAGGGGCACGAAATGTCCAGAGGATCATTCTGTAGATGACCACTGGCAAATAACAACTCGTACAGCACATGGATTTGCACCCCTCTCTGAACAACTGAATTAGCACACCTTCCGGGGATCCCAGGATACTGATTTTGTAAATGCTGCCAGGCGACCCCAGGCATGGCTAGGGGTTTAGAAGCGGCCTGTGAGCAAAGCACATAGGAGAGTTTGGTGGACCACTGTGCAATGGCTACCTCCCAGCAACCACTTTAGAACGCATGACCCTACCCCATGACCACAGAGGACTGGGCCAGGAATGGCCATGACTCTGGTGCTTAATGAAGGATTGAGGTCGGCTACACAGGGGGCACAGAGAAGACCTACGTGGTATCTGCGCTGGATTAGCAAAAGGAGGTAAAGCTCAGGAGACAGAAGAACACAGATGTCAGAGGAAAAGGGATGGACACAGAGGAGCCGGGCAGCTTCCAGTCCCTGAGCAGCACTTTCTGATGTCTCTGCGTCCCTGCCCTTGCGTGTACCGAGAGCTCCCGTCTCAGTCATCCAGACCGCGTTTGTTTTGATTTTTACTTTATTATTACTGTTGTTATTATTACTTGAGAGGCACAGATTCAGAGAGAGAGAATTCCACCTACTGTTTCACTTCCCACGTGCCTACAACAGTCAGGGCTAGGCCGGGTGGAGGTTGGGGTCCAGGAACTTCATCCAGGTCTCCTATGTGGGTGCCAGGAACTCAATTACGTGACCTACCACCGCTCTCTCCCAGGGTCTGCATTAGCGGGAAGCTGGAGCCAGCAGCGGAGGTAGGACAGGAACCCAGGCACTCTGGGATGAGCTGCAGATGTCCTAACTGTTTTCACTCACCAGGCCCAGTTTCTAGTGCTGGCCTGCTGGGACGGGCCTCACATACCCATCAGAGACAGGCAGGGCAAGCTTGAACTTCAGGATCGCAGCAACGATCCACGCTGGAGCCTGAAACAAACAGCACTGCTACTCACACTCACTCGCTAGTGCAGGCATCTCGGAGCAGTAGTTGGGCGGAATTACTGGATGTTGCAGGAACAGCCAAACACACACATGAAAGAGCTATTCGCGGTCGAGTTCAGACGTCCTTGGGTTAACGAAGGTAAGCTGGTTTCTTCACTCCGATCCTTCTCAGAACCTTTGTTTGCTCTTGTGTATCGTGATTCCCCTCCAGGGATTAGAGAAGGCGGTGCACACAAGTTTATTTGACTGAGGTACCTTTTTGTTTTGCTTTGTTTTAAAAGGTGTGTTTCAGAGCTGGTGGTCCAGGGAGAGCCAACTCATTCATTCGTCATTAACGTAAGGGAGGGCTTCAGAAGCTTTGTGGCAAAAATGGAATTAAAAGGCAAAGCTTATTGTAGTGCAAAATGTTTTGCAATCCATGCATGGCTTTTTTCTCCACAGTACACATTCTCCACGAACATTTTTTGAAGACTCTTCTATTTCTTCATCTGATAAACCATGTATCTGAGGGACAAACATAAGGACTACGTCTCAAAATGGCATGTTATCTGGATGAAGAGGGCGTGCTAGCCTGCTGGGAGTTGTGTGTTGCATGTGTGTGCATGTGCAGCCACACACACGTGTGTGTGTGTGTGTGTGTGCGTGTGTTTACTTGTGCCTGAGTGTGTGTGGAGAGAATGAAGGGAATGAGAGCCAGCCTGACAGAGGGGCAGGTCCTGGGCTTGGAGGCTCCACACAGGACTCCCGGTGTCCATGAACACAGAAGGCATGTCCAGCCCTAATCCAGGATTGCATTATGTCGGACAGGCTGGGCTAATTGCTCTGATTAGCTTTGCCTTCAATTAAAAGAAACTTCCAGAGTATGTATGCTCCTGTCCATCAGGCAAAATGTCCTGCCACAACCGAATGTGCTTATGGCCAAACCGATTTCTAATTTGTGAAAGTAACTGGCTCTGCTCTGCCGTCATTTGCATTTTCTTCCTTAAAAGTCCTAGATGGAAAGAAGTTTCTCCTGTGAATGATAATCAGGGTTTTTTGTTGTGGTGAGAAAGAAAATGGATTCAACATTTACCGAGCCTTACAGACGCTTAATCTTCCTTATTCCTTCCAGCACCCTGGAAGGTAGGTCACCCCGTGTTTTCCTTTTTGCAGATGGTGTCGCTCCCCATCTTCGTGGAGGAACGACACAGGACCCTGCGCTGTTCTTTTGTCTGCTCGGCCCTCCCCGGGTTTGCTGCTGGTTCTTCCCAGGTTGGCTACCGTCCCTCCCACCTCCGTGGAAGGGCAGTTCCCCCTAGCCACTTTCCCCACTTCCACGGGGGAGCGGCACACCACCGGCCGGCTCTCTAGGGGGCTGCACAGGTGTTCCTTCAGATAGATGTTCCCCTTAGATGTTCCTGGTGCATGTTGTCTCTCTCCTCCTTTATAGTCCTCTTCCACCAATCCCAACTCTGCTACCCACACGCCGAGTACGCTGCTCTCCTCCAATCAGGAGCAGGTCCTACAGTTTATTGGTTGAACTGGAGGCAGCTGTGTAGAAGCTGTTTCTCCCTTCTCAGCGCCATATTGTGGGAGAGCAGATGCATAGAATAAGTCTTAATTCCAGTAACTTAGTCTAGCCCGAGTTGCTCCCCACAGATCCCCCTTTCTTTTTATTTTTGGCGTTGATACGCGCCTGTCTTCGGTGCCCCACGGCACACACTCTGCTCTGCTTGCTGGAGTTGCCCACAGGTGCTTACAAGCCCTATCAATCAGGCAAACCGAATCCGGGTCCTCTCTTCGCCATGTTGTGAGGAGGTTTTTAGGCACTGATGCGTGCCTGTGTTCGGTGCCCTGCAGCGCATGCTCTGCTCTGCTAGAACTGCCTGCAGGTGCTTACAAGCCCTACCAATCAGGCAAACCGAATCCAAGCCCTCTCGTTGCCGTATTGTGGGGAGACTTATTGGTGTTGATTCGTGCCTATCTTCGGTGACCTGCAGCTCATACTCTGGTCGAGCTGCCTGCTGGTGCTTATCGCCTAATCAGGCAGACCGAATCCAAGCCTTCTCATTGCGGTATTGTGGGGAGACTTATTGATGTTAATTCGTGCCTGTCTTCGGTGACCTGCGGTGCATAAGCTGCTAGCCGCCCGCAGGTGCTCACCACCTCCCTAATCAGGCAGACCGAATCCAAGCTCTCTCATTGCCATGTTGAGGGGAGGCCTTATTTTTCTCTATTTCTCTATCTCCGGGCATTCCTATCTCTCCCATTTTACTTCTATCTGCCAGCATTCCTATTTCTCTCATTTTACTTCTAAATTTCTGTTTCTCTTATCCCTGCGGCTTCCCAGCGCCCACCCCAAGGCTGCTTCTTGGCGGCTTCCCAGCTCTGAGCCGCTTCAGCCCGCGCTTCTCTCATCTGCGCGGCTTCCCGGCTTCGCGCGCACACTCCGCGGTCTCTGCGCCCCTTCGCGCCCGCACCACGGCCTCGCACTAGCCCCACGTTCCCTATCTATTCACGCCCCATGCTCTCCGCACACGGCGGCTTCCGCGAATCACACAGCCTAGCTCACGTTTCCGCCACCGGTTGGTTTAGTTTTCAGTCTAAGTTCCCCGGGCTAACCTGACGAAATGCAACCTATAGCTTACGTCTCCGCTCCCGGTTTGGCTTCCCGTCTTTTGCTCCCCGGGCTAATCTGACGGATTCCAACCTGGCCCACGTTTCCGCCTCTGGTTTAACTTTTCGCCTTTTGCTCCCCGGGCTGACTTAAAGAATTCCAAGCTGGCTTACGTTTCCGCCTCGGCCTGCCCCCGCAGCTTCAATTTCCCTAACATTTTTCTCTACCCGGTATGTTTCCCTAAGTTTTCTTCCAACAATATTCCTCCCTCATTTCTCCTGGCTTCTCCCCACAGTCCGTATCCAAGTCTGTTTGTTCTAGCTTTCACTTTCGCTTTCGACCTTAGAGATTTCTCCCAGCTTTCACTTTCGCTTTCAATCCTAATGTCCAATCCTAACTTCTTTCCCACAGTCCATATCCGAGTCTATGCCTAGGCTTTCAATAGCTTCTTCCGGCACCTTTTCCGTCCGGCTTTTCCCTAGGCTCTTCTAGTCTCTCTCTCCGGTATTTTCCCACTTCTTCCCGCTTCTTCCCTCCTAGGTTTCCTATCCGAGTCACGGCACCATTATGTCGCTCCCCGTCTTCGTGGGGGAACGACACAGGACCCTGCGCTGTTCTTTCGTCTGCTCGGCCCTCCCCGGGTTTGCTGCTGGTTCTTCCCAGGTTGGCTACCGTCCCTCCCACCTCCGTGGAAGGGCGGTTCCCCCTAGCCACTTTCCCCACTTCCACGGGGGAGCGGCACACCACCGGCCGGCTCTCTCGGGGGCTGCACAGGTGTTCCTTCAGATAGATGTTCCCCTTAGATGTTCCTGGTGCATGTTGTCTCCTCCTTTATAGTCCTCTTCCACCAATCCCAACTCTGCTACCCACATGCCGAGTACGCTGCTCTCCTCCAATCAGGAGTAAGTCCTACAGTTTATTGGTTGAACTGGAGGCAGCTGTGTAGAAGCTGTTTCTCCCTTCTCAGCGCCATATTGTGGGAGAGCAGATTCATAGAATAAGTCTTAATTCCAGTAACTTAGTCTAGTCTGAGTTGCTCCCCACAGATGGCAAGCAGTACCATAGAAAGAGTCTTCAAAAATTCATGTGAAATATGTGCTATGAAAAACTATGCATGGGTTTCAAACTTTTTGCACCAAAATAAACTTATCTTCTAATTGCATCTTCCATGAACTTTTTGAAATACGCTTGTGTTTGTTGAATGAATGAATGAGGAAACTGAGACTGAGCGATTCGGCTCAGGATTACTGCACTTGACAGTGTCTAAAACTGCACTTGAACCCACGTCTGTCTGCCTCCAGGCCGTGATTTCCGCTTCATTATTCTAGAAACCAGCACAATGCTCTTCTGTGCATCCTTTGCTCCAACTCCATAAAATCCGAATACCATCCTCACTTCCTACGTGGAGACACGGAGGCAGGGAAAAGAACGCTGCTCAAATCGCTGAGATGGGAGAGGGAAGATTCCAGACCGCCTTCAGCCCTGTGACTCCTGTTCCTGGAACCCTCCAGCTGCATCGGAGACATTCTGACAAGCATTCATAGAGGCCCCTGGAGGTGGGTGCCAAGCTAACACACACAGCGGACTCCTCAGCGCCCTCTCCCTACATCCTTTTCTCTGTCTTCGCTGTCTGAGGCAATGCCCCTACTGCTATGGTTGCTTGTACCCTCTGCCGGAAGTCGCCAGCCCTGGACAGGTGCAGGGAGAGGTCTGTCTGAGAAGGGCACATCGCACAGCCGTGTCCCTACCCCTGCATTTCAGCCCTATTTCCTCCTGGCCCCCAGGTGAGTGTCACTGGCCACATACAACCTGCCATCCTCTGTGGCAGGCAACTTAAGTCCCTTCCAAAGGGTTGGCAGCGTGGTTGAGACCCTGCCCCCACGAGATGCGCCTTGGGGAGAGGACTGCTCCATCGCTCCCCACCATGACCACACACAGACGCACATTTCTCCGGAACCTTCTCTGCTCTTGTTTGCTGCCCCGCTTGAAGGGCTTGGGATCTGCCTTCCCTGGAACAGAGAGCCAGGCCCAGGCTGGACGTTCTTGGCCCCGCTGACTACTCTCTGGGATGAAAATGTAGTAGTTTTTCCTTTTGTCTTTTTCCCTTTTCATACCACGTATCGTTTAAAGGAAGAAATTCTTTTTGACAGAGAATGAGAGAAGGACAGACAGAAAGCAGCAGAGAGATAGACTGGTCATCCATTGGTTCACTTTCCAAATGCCACCATAGCCAGGGCTGAGCCGGGGCTGAGCCAGAGCCAAGGCCTGGAGCTGGCAACTCAATCCAGGTCACCTCTGTGGGTGACAGGAATTCACCTACCTGAGCTATCAGTGCTGCCTCCCACCCCTGCACTAGCCAAAGCTGGAACCAGGAGCTACAGACAGGAATTGAACCCAGGCACTCTGAATGGTGGGCATCTTAACTACTAGACCAAACCCTCACAGCTTTTTCTAAATTTTTGCAATAGCTCTTTGAGGTAGGAAAAACTAAAGATAAATGATAAAATAATATAATAATTGACAGCACAAGCCATTGAGCCAGACACCAGGGTTCAAATCCAAGTTTTGAAACTTGGTTGCTGTGTGGCCTTGGGTAAGTCCCTTAACCTCTCTGGACACCAGCTTTCCCTTCTCTAAGATGAGGATAATTGTGACAACAGTAATAGTTCCTGCTTTATTGGGAAAGCAGTCACTTGTCTAGTACTAGACAAGGGTGTGTGAACTCGTATCCCTATTTTAAGAATGAGGAAGTTGCGACTCAGATTAATTTATTCTGTCCAAATTTGTTCTGTGAGAGCTCCTTTTTAAAGAAAAATTCTATTTCGCACGCTGCTCCTGATAGAAAATCTTTGCTAATTCAGCATTTTCTGTAAAGTCAGATCCACATTCCTCCACATGATTCCCCGTTCCGGCTTCCAGTCCTTCCGTTCCCTGTGTGTCCTTCCTGTTACAACACCCTGACAGCTTGTCACCCTCGTAACATGTCCTGCGTGTTCACAACTGTGGCTTTTTACAGACTGTGTCTTCTGCATGAAGTGCCTGCCCCTCTGCCCCCTGGCCCGTGCCGTGTCCTTCCTCCAGGCTGACTCTAGGCTCACTCATTCAGATTCGTGGGGTTATGTGGTGTCTGCTTAGGGTAAGGTGTTTTTTAAGTCTTCAGGGGGTGCAACAGTGAATAAGAAAGATTCAGCTTCTTCACCAGCAGACAAACCCCGTTGGGACAAGGTAGCAGACCCCACAGTGCAGTGCAAGATGGACAGTGACAGGTGAGCAGCAGAGATACCTCACAGGCCAGTCTGTGACTGACCTCCCTCCTCCTCCTCCTTCCTCTATGCCTGTGGGACACATGGCCGTAGCACCAGAGAAGATGAACTCGAGACAGCCACGGACTACTCATTTTCCTTCCAATGATTGGTGCCCCCCATCCACAAAAGACAAGTATTTTACTTTTGCAATTTGAGAGGCATTTTGTGCGTTGTTGCATTCTAGCAGTCATGAACTGTCTCCAGATTCCAGATCCAGGGACCTAGCCTCACACAGCACGACTGCACAGAGGAGCTGGGAGAGGCATAATAAGACCGGATCAGCCTTGGCCGTGACCTAAGGCAGAGGCTCACTCTAACGAGGAAGCTGTGAAATGCAGCAAGTAGAATGGTAGGAGACTGGGTGCAAGAACGGCTCCATCCGGCTCCTGTAGCCACGCTCTTGCAGTGTGGCTTGGAAATTTCTCCCATCATGAGACGGAGCCTGGACGCTCAGCTGACTAAGGCAGAGACATGCTCCAGTGCCAAGCCTAGGTTTCGGGGGCCTCTGAACGCCTGTGCCTGTTCTCGTGAAATCACACAAGCGCCAGTTCGGGAAGAAATCAAAAAGTACCTGGAAGAGACCCTATGCATCTTAGTCAAGTGTGGGGAGCAATCCGGACTAGACTAAGTTACTCGAATTAGGACTTATTCTATGCATCTGCTCTCCCACAATATGGCGCTGGGAGAGAAGTAAACAGCTTCCGCACAGCTGCCTCCAGTTCAACTAATAAACTGTAGGACTTGCTATTGATTGGAGGAGAGCAGCGTACTCGGCGTGTGGGCAGCCGAGTTAGGATTGGCGGAGGAGGACTATAAAGGAGGAGAGAGACGGCATGCACCAGGAACATCTATGGGGAACATCTAAGGGAACCCGTGCAGCCCCCGAGAAAGCCGGCCGGCGGTGTGCCGCTCCCCTGCGGAAGTGGGGAATGTGGCCAGGGGGAACTGCCCTTCCACGGAGGTGGAAGGGATAGTAGCCAACCCGAGAAGAACCAGCAGCAAACCCGGGGAGGGCCGAGCAGACGAAAGAACAGCGCAGGGTCCTGTGTCGTTCCTCCGCGAAGAGGGGGAGCGACAGTCAAGGTCATCCTAGACCTGCCTATGGCCAATGAATATCTAAATGTGAGACACCTCTATCAAGTTCAGTGGGCTGCAAGCACGTGAGACCTAAGCTGAGACCAGAACTGTCCGGCCGATGCACACACAAAGATTCGGGAGTAATAAAACGACTGCACGTGAGAGGATTGTTCACAATATTACTGCAGTGGCAGAGGACTGGCACGCAGGGAAAAGGAGATCAAATATGCAATGGAAACAGTCTACAGACTATTAAAGCGTGCCAGAAAACGTGTATCTCGTTCTTTCATTTAAAGGCAGAGTTTTACTCCTTTCTAATGAAAAGGAAGTCCTCTTGGGTTGAAGTTTGAAGTTGGATTTCTCTAGAGATATCCAAACAGAAAAATTTGAGATCCACAGTGCACTGGGATGTGACTCCTGCTTAACCTGAAGCCACCATTTGGTAAAATTAATACGTTACTCACACTGTGCACCCTCGGTCCCTTCCCCCCGGTTCTTACAAGTCCAGCCGTCCCCAGGTCCTCCCAAGTGTGGCAGCCCCAGGCTCTCGCACATCCTGTGAAGGGCTGAGTGGGGAGCATTTCCCGTGAGCTTCTTGCTGGAAGTGGAAACTCTACACCTTTGGGTGGGTGGACTCTACTTGGAGACAGGGGGAGGGAGCCAGCCACAGCCTGAAGAGGCCAGGGCCAGAATGAGACAGATGGCCAAGGGTATCTCTGAGCTGCCCACCCCCACGTGGGGCACAGCAGCTTTTCGAGATCTCTGCCTCTGTAAAATCCAGGCTTCTGGTTTCCCTGAGTTGGAAGTGGGAAAGGAAGCAGTAGAAGCAGCATGATCAACTATTCAACATGGTCTTCGGCTTAGCCTGAAGCCCCCTCCCTCCCTCCCAACATCCATAGTACCTGCTCACTCCACGCCTGGGCTCTCTCATGTGTTTCAGCTGGGAGACGGTGCACACCATCGTGGTCGCTTGCTGGCGTATTCTGGGCAGAGACTACTGCTTTCTTGACTTCATCCACAAACATACCTCCGTCTTCATATCATTAGAAACTCATATGCACAGACATTCCTTCTCTTTACTATAGATGAATTCAGTGAGATCCCGGAGGCCAAGGAAATGCGTTCCTTCTGCCATCCAGATCAAGGCACCGTACCTTTGGAACCCAGAAATGTTGGCCAGGGCTCACTGTCCACACCCTGTCTCTTCCCATTGTTCTAACAAGGCAAACAGCTGCTTTGCCAGGGAGCTGTTGCCAACCATAACGCCAAATGCTTATTTGTAAGCTCTTTCCCTCGTTCATAGGTAGTGGAGTGAACATGTTTTTAGAAGAATGTAAATGAGTAAAGATGTAATAAACACCATCATCTCAGGTTCTTTGGTGCCCCCAATATCCCAGGTTCCGCCATGCACCCTTTCCTAGATACAATCTCTGCCAATTTTCACCATTTCTAGGGAGGCTATCCCTATCACCCCCAGTTCCTTGGTGAGGAAAGGGAGGCTTTGAGAAGTGAAGAATGTACCAGAGTGACATCCAGTTGGTGACAAGATGGGGACTAAAAAATAGGTTTTCTTCCTGCAAATCCAATGCTCTAGCTACCTATTATTTTGTTACTTTTTATTTTCTCAAAGGGTGGTTGTTTAACAGTCTACAGCCTTCCTTATCTGCAACATATAGTCAGTTACAAATTTTATTTATTAAAATTGTATTGCAGGGGTCAGTGCTGTGGCGCAGTGGGCTAAGCTTCTGCCTGAGGCACCAGCATCCCATATGGCTGCCGGTTCAAGTCCTGGCTGCTCCTCTTCTGATCCAGCTCCCCACTATGGTCTGAGAATGGCCCAAGTGCTTGGGCCCCTGCACCTGCGTGGGAGGTGCAGAAGAAGCTCCTGGCTCCTGGCTTGGATTGGTTGAGCTCCAGCTGTTCTGGCCATTTGGGGAGTGACCCGGCATGTAGAACACCTTTCTGTCTTTCCCTCTCTCTAGCTCTGTAACTCTGCCTCTTAAATAAATTAAAAAAAAAACTTTTAAAATTGTATTGCAACCATATATGAACATTATTGTTAGGGCTTCAAACAGTATATAGTAGTAATAGCTAACATACATCAAGCATAGACTCTATACCAGTCAGTGTTTTTGATTTTTATGTGTATAAACTACACACAGTTTACTGTCCTACTATTTACTCATTCTCCAATGGTCTTCATGCAACAGATGCAAAAAATGAAGGCACAGAAAAGGCTAAATAATTTTCCTAGGTCACCTCGCCTGTGTGGAAGCTGGACTCTGCCTCAAGAGGCTGCTCACGTTCTCAACCACTTTTGCATCGTAGTTTATTATATGCAGAAATAAAAACAAGCAAATCACTCGCATGTGATCTACTCAGAAAGACCTGGTGAAGACTGGACCTGTAATAAGTCAGTCACTAACAATACTACTCCATGGTTCCAAAAGCTCAGCCGAATCTTAGCACTTGTTAGGCATCTGATGAATGTTAGTTTCTCATTTCCCCCTCTTCTGGGGGCCGGGGAGGCCAGCCAGCGTCTTTCATCTGTTTACCCGAAGAACAGTGAGGACTGTGTGAGTTAAACCCTGTGCTAATCAGGTGCCAGGCATGTGAGCTGACCCACGTCGGGGCGTTACCCTGAAGAAAGGAAATCGGCACAGCACAGTAGTCAATGGATACTGCGCGGGGGGCGGGAGGAGGCGACAGAGAACAGGGCAGTGACACTGACTGGGAGTTAGGGGCCACTCTTAGAACCCGAGTTACACAGTACAAAGAAATCCTTGCACATCTTCAGGAAGTTGGGGTATAATAGGACATACTGTGTGCCGAACACTGGTGTAGGAGGTCTGTGTCTATATCTGCCTACCCGTGAGTCCATCTGGCAACGAAAATCTCATGTAACTTATGCAAAGTCACTTATCCCAGTGACGGCCGGGAGTTGAACCCGGGGCCGTCTAGCACTAGACGCTATGATCTAGCATAACCACTGAAGAGGTGGCAAAGCTTCAGAACACAGATCGTTTGGAACCCAGCAGGTCTAGGCACTTCCGGTCAATATTTGTTTATCATCCAGAGGGAGCTAATGATCTAGAACTGGAGTCCGCACCTGTGTGTGAAAGAGCTGGGAAAGAGTAGAAGGCCAAAGGCCCCCGCTCCCATTTCTGCTGTAAACAGCAAGAGCTCTACTTTTGCACCAAGCTTAGGCCTTTTCTAGGAAAATCACTAGAAAAAGAAAACATGGCTCAAACCATTACTGGGCTAATGGGCCTTCTGCAATCCGGATTCCTTGGAAAACTTTTCACATGACGTTAGGCCTCGGCAATCCCAGCAGCGCCTGCACTTGACATTCTTAAAGTGATCTCAATAAATCACCCGTAATTCATGCAGTGCTGTGCTGAATGGTTCACATTAAGCCGGATGTCTAAAGCTGTGAGTCTAAAGAGATTTGAGTAAATTGGAGATATATCAAAAATGCAGAAAGGACAAGCATAAATGGGTTTGGCTCTGCTTTTCCCCCATCACCATGGGTCCAGTGATGCCTGGTTTTCATTTTACTCATAGAGTGTGTTCAGGGGGGCAGCTAAGTAGGGAGTCATCAAAGCCAGCACCGCTGTTGACAAAAGAAATTCTCCCTAATGACGCAGAGGGTCACACAGGGGCAGAGGGAGTCACTGACACGTCTCCTTGCTCCATCTGCCCCCCTCCCCACACTGCCAAGAAAGCCCCTCTGATTTTTTGTCTTTTTTCCTAGGCCATCACACAGTGCCCAGCTAGTATTTGGTATTCATCTGCAGAAATGGGCACAGCTCTTCTTTTCTTGAATGAAACTGAGTTGGTCTAGGCAGCAGTTGACTTGGCTTGCGTATTGTTCTCACTCTACTGATTTTCTAGGCACCACAGGCTTCTGTTCCCCCTGGGGTTTCCTGACACCCAGGAGGGATGCAGGAATCTCCTCCTCATTTCTGCTCCCTGTCAGCCTCCCTCAGGCCCTGTGCACCCTAGCCCAGAGGAGTCCTGCATTAGTCAGCTGGGCCTGCTACAACAAAATACTGTATGTAGCCCCCATGCTGCGTGTGCTCCATCACAGTTCCAGGCATTGGAAAGTCCAAGTTCAAGGTGCCAGCAGGGTTGACGTCTGGTGAGGGCTCTGTTCTTGGGGTGCAGCTGGTCACTTTCTCATTGTGTTCTCACATGGGCTTTCCACAATCAGAGCGAATAGAGAGAAGTAGAGATTGGAGGTGGAGGGGAGAGGAGGGAGGGTAGAGGCAGAGGCAGAGGTAGAGATAGATACAGATGGCACAGAGAGAGAGAGCTATAGAAAGAGGTCAGAGAGAAACCAAGCTCAGAGCACTCCGATGGTTCTTCTTGTAAGACCACCAATCCTGTGAAATCAGAGTCCTTCCCTTGTGACCCCATTGAATGGTAATTAGTTTGCTAGAGGCCCTAACTCCAAATACAGACATACCAGGGATTAGGGCTATAACATACAGGTTTGGGGAGGATGCAAACCTTCAGAGTCAGGCTCCCTCTCCTCCCTCTCCCCCCCCCTCCCTCCCTCTCCCTCTCTCTCTCTCTCTTTCTCTCATCCTTGTCTCTCCAATGTTGTTTATTCCTGGAGGAGGCAGGATGCATTTTGTTGCCATGATCTAGCCTTGCTCTTTCTCAGGTCCTGGGTGCCTGGGCCTTGGCAGAGAGGCCTTTTCATCATTCCTGGCCCTTCTTCCCATGGCACTCAAACTTGGCCTTGAGTCTGTGGTTGGTCCTGGTCCAGTGAGTTTCATCTCCCTCTACACTGGGTTGGAAAACTCACGTCTACCTGGAATCTCAGGATGTGATCTTATTTGGATAGGGGGGCTTTGCAGATGTTACTAGTTGAAATGAGGCTGTAGATTAGGCTGGGCCCTAAATTCAGTAACTGATGTCTTTGCAAGAGAGCAGAGAGGACAATACAGAGTCACAGAGATGCACCCTGGGAAGAAGCCCAGATGATGGCAGGGACAGAGAAAGGAGTGACATAGCCGCAAGCCACGGCGCGCTGGGGATGGAGAGACACGGAACAGATTCTCAGCAGGAGCGAACCCTGCTGACACCTTGATTTTAGACTTCCTGGCCACCGGGAGGGTTGGAAGCCACCCAGGGTGTGAGCAAGCCTTCCAACAGCCCTAGGGGTCGGGGTACCCTCCTCCGATGAGAGCAGACTTCTCAGAGTGCTGGTTCGTGACTCCAGGCCCAAGGTGGCTTCTTGCTCCTCTCCCGGGGGTAGAGGCTTTTGTTTGTACCTGTGATCCAGAAGCAAGGATTTCACCCGGGTCTTGGAGTAAGCGGGCCTCCTGTTCCTCCCCAACAGCAAAGCTTTTGCTCTCTATGGAGAAGGGTCCAGGAAAGCAGTGATCCTCATGTCCATCCCTTCACGCCTGTCCCTGTCTCCTCTGGGGCTCCCCATTCAAATGCCTGTCTGATCTTTCACGTGAACGTGCAGTGGACAATCTTGGATCAAAGCTTGTGAATGAGTGCCAAGGCCCCTCGGGCCGGAAGCTGCTGGACAGGCCAAACATGTGAAGCCCACACCACCCTTGAAGATTTTGCTAACATCTTAGCTGATTCCCTCCCCCCCTGCCCCGACCCCCCCCCCCCACCTGACCAGCAGGCACCTCTTTCTCCCACGTCTGCTGAAGGTGACACAGCGGTCACCCTGTCTCTCTGCAAGGGTTTGTCTGTCTCTGGAATGTGAGACAGGCCACTGGGTGGCCTTTGCAGCCTCAGTTCTCTGGTAGCCTCAGGGGAAGCAATGGCTTTGTAAGTAGCCTGGCCTCGTCTCCCTCCTTTCCCTCGTTGGGTGGGATCAAGCTTCTCTCCGTGCTTTCAACATTCTGAGCAGAAGTGGGATTCTTTAGCAAGCACTTCCACTAAACGCACCTAGAGCAGGTGCCCTGTGGCTTCTGGGGCTGGCTCTCCGCTCTCAGGCACACTAGCTCTGGGGCCCTTGCTTGGCCTAGCTGAAACGTGGCCTCCTGATGTCTAAAACACAATGCCGATGGGATTATCCCAGGAGTCCAATTCCATCCCAGCAGCCCAATATTTTAAAAAAGAAGGCGCTACAGCGACCTCACAGGTTGGTATAGTCATGGTTCAAGGTATCTTGGCTCAGCTGGGGAAAAAAAAAATGGCGTATTTGTTTTCTGA